GTGGAGTGAGTTTGTGACCGCGCAGCCAAAAGGTTAATCAATGCAAGCAAGGGATCAAATTCGCTTGACACTTTCAATGGAGAGTTGTTTGTTGATGGCCAATGACGAGCACACCTGAAAACCCCACACACACACACACTGGCTGAATGCACGCTATACAGCGCCAGATGTTGGAAGTGCACAACTGACCCACTATCGGTGATAAACATGCCCACGGTGCGTTTTGAAGCTTCTCCAAAAGCATCCGGCAGCAGTCGACGCTTCCACCCGCATCCACGCCCCATGCCTTTTGCTTGCCAAGATCTTCGGCCTAAGCGACGCAGCGAACGTGGCTGGGCCAGTTGGGCCCCCAGGGCCCCAGGGCAGGGGTTCCAATAGAAGTTAAATTGAAACTATAACTCAAATGTTTGATGTATAGCGTTCTGTCCCATCAACTCGCCTGGCAACTTTTTCCAAGCATTGATCGACACTGTGGCTGTCAAGCGAACTCACACCACACTGACTTCCCATGAAGTGACAAGATTAAATTCAGATGTGTTTTGCCCACATGAAGGGAAAGGGCATATGTTTTCAAGCTTTTCAGGACAGTGTGGCCATAGTAGCTCGCACTCAGCCCTACTCTAAGCCAAACAACGCTTCTTGAACACCCTTGGCGGCAACCCCTGCCAATGGAATTGGTCGTGTATGCATCCCCCTTTCTGGAGAGCGATACGGTGGCCCTTTAGACCATCTCAGCTTCAAAAAGCGGTGGGCAGGACATATCAGCTAAAGGAGTCATCCCAGCAAACAAACCAATCAATCAAGTCAATCCATACTACCATAAGCAAAACAATGCTTTGTAGTCGAAACAAAAGGATCGAGTTCAGTATATGGGTTTACTTTCTTCTAGACCCTGGCCTTGACCCTTTGCTGCCTGCAGCCCGTCAATCGAACCCCGAACCAGAGCCTAGGCTGACAGAACGCCAGTCTTTCGGAGCTGCTCCACATAGGCTTTGGCGCCTGCATGCGCCTCGGCCTCAATGTTGCCCTCATTGATCTCCTTGGAGCTCCAAAGCTTGGTGCAAAAGGTCCAAAAGTAGTCCTTCACATACACGCTGCAAATAGACGGCTTGGAATGTGGTGGGGAGGAACAGGTTTCTTTCAATCCAGAAAAAGATATACTTGTTTTCGGTAGACAGTTTAACCAAAGGCCCTGTGACCTGCGGTGAAGTAACAACAGCCCTGCTGGAATGTTAGCGGCTAAGATGCTGAAACTACTACAGTAATTGAATTGATGTTGCGCTCCGTTGCACTCATGCCAATTAATCTATCCCTGGGGAGTGGTTTTGGAGTGGCCAGCATTTGGGCATTGCTGCGTGGTCCAGCTGCCCGTGCACACATTATGCACATGCCACATATATGTGAAATATTCTTGCACATGCCACAGAAAATCAGAAAGAATTCGGGCGCAAAGGCAGTCCTCATGAGCGCTGTATGTCGACAAGAGTGGCTTGACCTTTTGCTGGAAAGCTTGGCGCATGGAATCCCACTTCATTGATGGAAAGGTTCCACTAGGCCTCCTCCTCTTGGCAAAGCACTTGTTCTTCGCGCCCTCCGCTGCAGGAAGATCCCCACCATTTTCCACCTCCTGCTTGTTGGACTTCTCCCTCTTGGTGCGAACAGGCTTGCGCTTCTCAAGCTTTTGGTTCCCACCCTCACACCCATCGACCTTGCCGCAAGGAGACCCCGCAGCCTCACCAGGCTTTCCACCCTCAGGCTTCACCTCAGGCTCCACGGCCTGGCCCTTTGGCTTCCGGGCTCTTGGCTTGCGAGCAGGAACAGCCTTTGACGGTGGAGACAGCGCACTCTCACCTGCTGGGTCAGCAAGCCGCTCATTGCTAAGATCTTCAGGTGAGATGCCTTCACCTTCACCTGGCAGCTGGCCCTTTGCTGCCTCTGCGGCCTTCTTGGGCAAAGCTTGGCTTCTTAGCTTGACGCTTTGGAGACATCTTAGCCTTGGCCTTGGCTTTTGCTTTTGCTTTCCCCTTGGCTCGGGGCATCTTCGCAGGTCTCTGCCCGTCTGCGCATTCCTCTCCTTCAGCAGAAGCCCGCTTTAGGCCCAACTGCATTCGGCGAAGGACCTTGGCAAAGAACAGGGTCCATGAAGAGCATGTTGGGGGCAAGGCAAAGTAGTGAGACATCCCGTCTGTGTGAAAGCTTGCGCTGATATTTTATTCAATCCACTTTAATGGACATCTTACTGCCCCAAAAAAAACAAAAATGAACATACAGCAAAGCTACACGCGGAGCTTCATCCTCCATATTCGGTTCCTCTGGAATCGGCTCAACAAATCGTTCGGCCATGGAATCAAGTTCAACAGCTGGCATGGGAAAGGTCTCCATGTTATCAGCCCCAAACGGCAAAGACTCTTGGACCAGGATAGGCTCGGCATCCTTCAATGACCTCAAAGCCAGCCTTGGATCAACCAAGACCCGTTGATGTGAAGACCCAGCTTCGGAACTGCATGGACATTTAAAAAGGATAGAACATCTGGCTACAGTTGAGGGAAAGGGATAAGCAAGACAACTTGGCAAACCTTTGCAAAGTTTTCCTAATTCCAAAGCCTAGAGTCTGGGCTGTTTGCTGTCGGCGAAGTTGAGCTACTTGAGCTTTCAATAAAGCTACCTGTTTCTCATCCTCTTCGCCTTCACCATGATCCAAGTCATGTAGACTTGAGGCACTAGCTGAAGGCTCTGCCACCTCCATGGCTGCGGCAACAGCGCCCACCACTTCATGGCCGGATTCTGGAACTTCGCCCACAGGAAGCTCGCTCGCTGCCTTCTCTGCGGTTTCCTTGTTGACTTTCATGAGATCACCTGCCATGCCTGAGTCTTGCTCCGCAAGGAACTCCTTGTAAGCGTGCTCGTCTTGCTCCGAAAGGAACACCTGATAAGCCTCCTCCTCAGCCTTCAACGTGGCAATAGCCAGATCGGCTTCATTGAGGACCTTTTCAGTTCGATCAGCGGCACTGACCTCTTCATCCTGGTCACCAAAGAGTTCATCTTCTTCAGCGGCAACCTCTGAATCCGAAATCAACAACGGATCGCCTTCCACAACCCCATCCTCCAGAGCAGGTGCATCGTCCCCATCATCAGATGCAGAGCCCTCATCATTCAGACCTTCAGTGGCACCACCCAGAATTGACTGTGACTCATTGGCTTCCTCTTCCTCAAACTCCTCGCAAGCGGATTGGGGGAGCACATGTTGGGCAAGCAAAGGTGACATCAGTATAGTGGGAAACCAATTGGGAAACTGAACGCAAGTATCGAAGAAGAGGAGCATTGCAACTGGAAAAATGCTGTGAATTAGAGACCAGTGTCGACACCAGTGAGCGCTGCCATCAAACGTCGAAAGCTTCTAGACCGGGTCATTTGGCCACGCGTGCACTTTCTCTTCACCATCACGCTAAACTTCTTGCAACGCCATGCGTCGAGTTTGACCTGGTCCTTGGCAAATTCAACGCCCACCATAGTGAACAGCTTCGTGATCCTGAGCTGGAAAGAGAGCTGGGTTGCATGTAGGAAGATGCTGTGCTAATACCAGATGTCCATATGTATGCGTGTGTGCACGCACGCGTGTATGATCGCATGGATAGTTTTTCCTGGCGCATGCACTTATAGCACATGTTGGTACTGGCTTGCATGCATGTAGCCATGAATCAACCAGTTGCATTTTTTACTGCAAAGATTGAGGTTCAAAGACTGGAACAAGTGGTTCTACCACTGACCCTCAGGGAAAACAATTCTACCAACTGACATTTCAGGGTCCCACAGTTTATGCAAAAAACATGCAAATTGAACTTGGCCGCTCTTGTTCCAGGAGTGGAATGGAGCACATGCCAATTTCTCCAGTTGTTGGGTCCACCAGCATCTGAAGCAAGGGCATCAGCACATCGACATGATGTTCCGCACCATGGATGTTGATTTCTAAGGGTTTGTTCGCAATGCTCTCCAGAAACAAAGCCTTGTAGTCCCTGATGCGGTCCCTGATATGACGGCAGCTTTCCCATTTATCAGCCAAGCCAACGACAGAGGCATTGGTAGCCATGTTCGGTCAAAGGGCTGAAGAACAACGAGTGGGCACCGATCAAAACCACTGCGTATGAGCGGCGAATTTATATTCTCATGTGACCTAGATGCTGTATTCCTGCAAGCTTGGCAGCTACTACCACAATCAGGAGGGTCCGAGGCACATGTCAACTAGGTAGGTTTCCAAATCAAGAAGTACACAAGGTCTGCAAGAAACCATGTGTATTTTCCTTGAATGTGAAAATGTGATTCGCAAGTACCCAACTAGCACAGTCCAACATGACTGTGCTGGCCCGGATCGTCCTGAAGTCCTGGCCCATTCATTTCGACCCCCGTCCGAACGACTGCCAAGGCCCCTGGCTTGGCTGTCACCGGCTGTTGGCATCGACCATCAGCGCACAGCAGAAAGGGCATCACTGCGCTTGGGAGTGGCCGGCATGAGCATGTTTGGTCCCATTGGTCGAGTAGGTGGCCCAAAACCATAGTACTCTAGTGTGCTTCATGGGCATTGATTGTGGTGGTACAATCATTAGGAGCTGTCTCGGCACACATGCCCACTTGGAAACCTCTGAATGGTTTCAACTGGATCCAATCAGGGAACTCCAACTGTCACAAAAGGTTCAATGACCTTCTTGGAAGGATGATGATGGCGCTGCATGGATTCAGCATCCAATCAACTTGGGCCTGCTCCAAAAGTACGGCCCTTTCTGGGAAAGAGAGGTTTTCCACATGAAAACCTGCCTTTTTGAAAAGGCATTCCCTTTCGCAGGACTTTGAGGTTCCAGGTATATATACATTTATATGTATATAATATTATTGGCACCTTCGTGCAGGGGGCTATTGAGAGCACAACCAGCCACCCCAAGAATGACCACTTCGGGCGTCCTAGCGCAAATGATGTTGATCGAACGTGGATCGTATTGAATCCAAGCCTTGTGCCAAACGGATGCCCTTGACCTGCTCATCCTCCACATTGAGCCACACCAGTAAGGTGATAACCTCATGAGGGGAGCACGGACGGCACCCTACAAATCTTCCCGATCAAGACTTGCCATCCTCGGCCTATGGCCGCCTTCCGGGTCCGGAAAGTTGTATTCCTTGCAAGGTCACTTCAGAAGCGCTCCAAAAAGGCCACTTCAGACATGCGATGAAATACGGTGTTTCACCGGTGTCACCCCTTGGGGGATTCGGTGTCACTCCCCATGCCCTCCCACGTCCTTCACCGATCTGGGCCCAAGTCAAACGGGCCCGAGACCGCCGAGGGCGGTTGTCCCTCCGTGGAAAACCCGTGTGGCAAGCATGCGCAAGCCAGTGCTCTATGGGTCATGCAGCCAATTCGCAGTCAAATGGATTTGTATATGCAATGTTTTGATCCTTTTATGCCCACATAGCACCATACTGCCGTGGTCTTCTTTCTGGCTGATTTGAGGCCAGGAAACACTCAATGGCCGTCCGGTGATCAAGAAGTTCCGGCCAAATCCGTCGTCCTCCAGCGGATGCATGCTGCACCCAAACGCACCGCCCAAGTCGCTTGGAATCAAGACTCACTTAATAAAAGCATTGATAAATAATGGCAACCAATTTTTATCAATTTTGACACAGCGACAGCCATGCCATTCTTGTTGGTGATCTTTTAATATCGTTTAACAATGCTGGAAGTGCTATATGTCTGGGGTGCATTTTCCAGCATCACTGAACCAATGTTGACGCCCCCAGAATGAACCGCAACACCACTTCAGGTTTCTGAATTCTTCCGCACGTCCAGCGACCGCGCTGTCCTTTCCCCCCTGCTGCGCAGGTAGTGCGGCTGAAGGGCCATCGCACTGTGGGAGCTTGGCAGTCCCTGATGCTGATGCAGCGAAACATCGGACATCTGAACGCGAACGAAACACCACTTTTGAGTGCATGTCAGCCAATGTGGGCACAGCAGGCTCTACCTCAAGCCAGCGATGCCAATCCTGAACCAACTCACCCGCAAATACATGCTGCGCAACACTTGTTCAGCTGTGTGGCTGTTGTGGCCTCCGGTTGTACCAGCCTTATACCAGACTTGATGTTGAACAACTGGTGTAAGCCCTCCCAAAAATTCCCCGCAACGGTCAGATCTTACCCCCAAACATGCCCAAACCCTGCGTTCTCCGTTGTGTTCGAGACCTCCGGGAAAGACTCGCCAGGCGAAGCCGAACTTGTCGCTCACGATCTGGAACTCCACCTGCACCACATCGGGACCGGGCCAAACCGGGACCAGAATGGCTTGGGGGGAGTTGCAGGTGTGGCCTAAAAGCAGATTTGAATTGATTTGGAATTGTAAAATAGAGGTTGCGTCCGGTGAAACAAAGGCAGAACCTCTGCCACTCTGCAACCCATACAGGAAAGAACGCACGGCAAAGAAGAGAAGCCATGGAAACCTCACCCAAACCATCATACAAGGAACGCTGGAAAGAAGAATGCTGAACAATTGGCGACCACTGCCAACGTACCCCGGATACGACGAGGATCTGGCAACAACCAACAAAGTAAGCCAACAGATTGCTGGAAGGAAAATCTCTTTCATGCCCCACACCCTTCCACGCAGTGGGGTGCCCGAGGGATGACTATCACACAAAATTTATGAACAAAACGTGCAGAAACAGCCACCCAAGCATCCAACTTACACAGGTTGAGGCCGACCTTTCATGCCCCGCCAGCTACATGCAGGTCCAATACACCGCAGAATGCATATGTATGTATATATCTGTGTAAATATAAAATATATATTATTATGTATTGATAATTACATATTGAGATAAAACAGGGGAACACATGTCAGTCCCATGGAGTCTCTGAGAAGTCTGAGAAACGCACCCTAAGGGCTTCGTTCACTCCTCACTCCCTCTGCCCTTGTCCCGGTGCCTCCCGGGTCAACAGGCGCATGCAAAGGCTGTGGCCCTGCCACGGTCCTATGGCCAAGGCACCGCTACGGTGTAACAGGAAGTGGAGTTTCCGGGAACAGGGTTTCCAAACCTCAAGCTAGCCTGCAGAACATGCAGGGAATCTGAACAACCAAGAAGAACGCGGTCCATCTCTCTCTCTCTCTCTCTGCATGGCTCCTCGTTTCACGGAGGCACCCGACTACCGCACAGTACCGGGGAGGTACTTGCCGGTTTGGCACTTGGAAAATGTCCCAGCTGATCTTCCAGAAGAAACTGAAAGATCATGCATCACAGCCACCTTAAGGAACTTGCCCTTCTAAGGTGATGTTTTCGAATGAAGCTACTCACATGACTCCCATCAAGTCACCACCCCTCATGATGAGGACGCCAGCGAATGGATCGGCTCAAGCCCCAAAGACTTTCAGAGAGCTGGTCAAGGATCTAAGGATCCACGGGTAAGCCCCGTGTACCTGTATCAGGGTGCCACTTCAAAGGTCTCCTTCTCGTCTTCCGCTTCTCTCACCTATCAGTTCTGACAATCAGGTGGCAACTGACTGGCTCGATGACTCCCTTCATCCAGGCCAAACTTCTTTTCCCCTGCACCCCAAATGCTCCCAGTCCCCAGCGCACCACTGGCCGACGGTGACTCCTTCGTGGTGCGTGGCGGTGAGAACCAGACCTGCCGAGGTGCGAGTCGTCGCCACCCAACCAATCCTTCGTGCACTGGAGAATCAAGGCCCGGCCCTAAGTGGCCTGCTAACCCTCCCCACTCCCCCTTGCACCCTTTTCTTGCGGTCGACGCACCAGGCCAAGCCAGCCTTGCAGGTACCACCCTGCAAGGCTGGCATGCCACTAAACTCCAGGACGAGCACTTGGGCCAAATCAGGGGAGGGCAGGCGGGGTTTTGCAAAAAGCAGCTGCCACTTCCAAGCTGCCCAAACCAAAAGCTTCCCGAAAAACAATGCTGCAAGGAAGGAGGAGGGTTCGTGCGCTGCTGCACTTGGGCAGCAGGCTGGCCCTCACCACCGCAAGGACCGGCAGTTCTTCCCGCCAGAGTTCTGCAAGAATCCCTTGCAAACTCCTACTGAACTGGGTCCTTGGAGTCCTTGGCAACCCACCAGAAAGGTGGCCACTCAGAAATGCTGCCCCGCCCAGAACGGCGCATGTTTGGACCCGGCCTGACTGCTCCAAGCGCCATCCACAGGGATGCCCCACCAAGCGCCTGAGACCAGCCGTGCGAGACTGGTGACCAAGACTGGGTCAACTCACTGGAGTCTTTCATAAAGAATCTGAATACTATTTATATAAGTGGAAAGGGGACCTCACCCTTTGAGGGTGGAAGAGCTTGAGTTCTTCATAGTTTTTCCAGGCGAGACTCAATTCGAGCAAGCCCGCCGGCAAATCTGGTCAAGACAAAAGCATGCATAGGATTCATAAGATTGTTGACAGTCTCAGCAGCAGCAGCAACAACAACAGCAACAACAACAACAGCAGCAGCACATCTCCAAATACAGGGTGGATCCTTGCAAACTCCACTTCACTCAGAACGAGCATGGACCAGTATGGATCTCCCATGTGACCAATGATTTTAAGGCCCATCGCCATACTCCCTCAATCCTGAAATCAGCCGTGTGAGCATGTGTGAGCGAGCCTTTTGACATACTGGACATGCATAGACATCCCCAAAGAAATCGAAACGATGTCCAAGGCATGATTCAGAGGGGATCTGTCTGTCTAATTACTTTAGGGCTCCTCTACTACAGTTTACGGGTTGATTGGCTTGTAAAGAATCATTCAGAGAATCTTCTTCATCCACGTGGCAGTGGCAGCAGCTGCTGCAGTCGGAGCTGTTCAGGATCATCACTCCACGCCACGTGTGTCTCGAGACGAGGCGAGATGAAGTGCGTCAATGGCGAGCACGGGGAGCGCCCGTGCGAGCGACCAACAAGAACCAAAGGCTGTGTGTGTTCTTCTCTGGGGCGAACAAAGGCCCAACCAAATGCTTGTGGGACATGGGGCCCATGGGGCCCAAATGTCAACAATGTCAAATGTCAACTGTTTCGCAATGAAGAGCCTGGCATGAGCAAAGAACGGTCGGTTCTTCAGCCAGAACTGGCCTGACCAACGAGGGAGACTTTCCCGGCACCGATGGCAACGGTGGGGCCGCTCCTGGCGCCCATATGCAGCCATACGCTGAAAGGCCACAGCTTTCGAAGCAATGCTCCATCCCAATCAGTTAAGTATATCCGATATCCTATTGTTTCCATATTACCAGTAACAGTGGATTATGATCGTTAGTGAAGGCCTTTCTCTAAAATAGTGATATGTGATACCTGACATGTGTTTACAGGTAACAGGGCACCCCCAACCAATCACCACAGTTTAATTTGAACAACATGTTTCTCCCCCCATGTTTCCGCCAACGACGGAGCTTGTGCGGCAGTAGCCACGGTGACTTTACGACGGACCCTGCCTGCCCACTCTTCTGAATCTCAGACGGGCATTCTTGCATCAATAAACAGTACGGCATCTGCACTTGCGCCGTCAGTGTTCCCTGCGAAGAAACGAACCGACAGCACTCCCACTCAACTCTGCTTTCCAAAGCGCCCAGCATGTTCGCCCCGGATGGCACGCCCGGCCCCGCCTCGTGGGCTCCAGGGTGAAACACACTTGTGCGGCCAAGGGCGGCCCTTCCATGCCACGCTTCCCGAGGGCTAAGCGCACAAGCAAGGCTTTCACCTTGCCCGAAGCGCACATGATGCACGTGACACGCGGCAGAGTGATACGGAGCGGTCAGTGGCTCTTTCAGGTGAGGTCATCATCTTCTTGGCCACCAGCTTAGAGTGGTTTTCCATGTGGTTTCCCCGGCTGTTTTGGTTCCATTGTGAGGCTAGACTAGGGCTAAGAGGGTTAAATAACTTGAGATTGGGCTGGGGTGGGTGTGGTTGAGCATTCGGTGATTTTTTTGGTGCTGGTAGTGCCCCTGAATCCTCCTGAATCCATCGGGATGACACTTCTTTCAAGGTGGGATGTGTCACAGATGTAACAGAAAGGGGGTGGAGCCGCAGGCGTTTGAAGCAACACATGTGGGTCCCTCACTCCCTACGATCATTCGGTCGCCACTCACAAATTTCAAACCCTGATTTGCCCAAAGAATCCTAAAGGTGTACGACATGTTGGGCTTCCCAAGCACCTGGTGCAAAAGCCCCTCCAAGACCCCTCTCTTACTTCCTTTCCACACCTTGAGGTCACTGATGATAAAATTCCTGCGGAGCTTGGGAGCACCGTCGCAGGCCGACAGAAATGGCACGCACACATGCGACTTGGGGTCTGTCCAGCCGCGCTGGAAACGCCCCAGCCGTGCCGTAGCGGGTGGGCGAAGTAGAGGAGCAACAATAACAAAAGTCTACGCAACAAAGGTCGATCCCCTCAGGTCTGCTGCGCCTGAGGGGATAACGCTAGGCCGCTAGGAGAAACAAACTGCAAGATCTGCAAGCTTGGAGAAGTCTCCATCAATTTGTCAATGATCTCCGTGAAGTCCAAACTCTTCAGAGCACGATCGCTCGAAACTGCACCTGCCATGGCCATCACCACTGCCACCCACCAGACCATTGGCTTCAGAAGCACCCATCTGGCCAGCGTCCTCACAGCCGCTTCCGGATCAATGGGAATGTCAGGGTGGTGGAGGCTGTGAACAATGATTCCAGCCCTTAGCCGCGAAAACCAGGGGGTAACCTATTGCAGCTACATGGCCTAGATATGCCTAAATGGCCTCCAATACACTCCCCCCATCATCAAAACCAGCACACCTGGTCCGCAAGCCAGTCACCCAGAGATCTGGACCGCAACATGGCCTACATGTGATGCCCAGAAAGGTGCGTTGACCATTGGAACACAGGCCGCCCCCCCGCAGGGCTGCGACATGACCCTCTCTGACCTTCAACTCGCCAAAAGCCGGTGCTGAAAAAAAGCACCTGGGAATTGAATAGCCTGCTGGTTGCCCGGCAGGTGAAGAAAGGCCCTGGAATACGGGGCACCTACTATAACAGAACTCAAAAATGCATCTCTGTTTCTCTCGGACGGCCCTTGTGTGTTCTGGATGGCTACAGTGCCTCAAGGGTTTTGAAGCAGTCCTTTATACATCAACTGGAGCCTGAGCAGACCTTAGCCCTTCGTCCGCGCCTTTACCAGGGCCGCATCCTCCTTTGGGTAGATCCGAGCCCGAAAGCCCAATGGGCTGCTGATGATTTGAAACTTCACCAACTCCTTGCAACTGGGAGACTGCGATCAAGCTTAGAGCATCAAAATCCAACCCTATCTGGTGGACAAAGTAGGGGGTTGAGTCCTGAAAAATGTTTCGGAGCTGTAGGCATGGACTCTCTTCTGGGGGCACATCATGAAGCTCTGCGGGTTTCCAAAACAAAGAGTCCAAAGAGCATCCACCCCGCTGTTGTCCAGTCATGTCACCTCCAAGCTCAAGTCAAAGTTGTGTGGAGCGAAGGGCAAGGGTGAATGCCCATGGACAAATGTGAAATCAAAGAAGCAGCAGCACCAAAGAACTGGGGAGGCGAGCGATGATCAGAGCTCATCCGTGAAGAGTCAAGACTAATTGGAGAACTAACATCCCACAGAGAGAGAGAGAGAGAGGTGAGAGAGGTGAGAGGGTGTCGTGCCGTTCCTCTCTCGAAGCATGCTGCAGAAACATACCTGCTTCATGCCAGAAAAGGGCCGGCTACACCTCTGCGACTGGAAGGTCCAAACAACAAAGGCATTCTGATGTTGAAAATCAACACAAATGTGTGATGTTGACTTGCTCTGGAGCGTTCAAGCAGCAACCGAACTGGTTTCATTGTCAGAGATGTGCTTTTGCTGCGAGAAAGTCCTCAAGAACTTCAATGTCATCTGCTGGGATGTTCTGTTTCCCCGTTCCGGTTCCCCGTCAACTAATTGGGACCCCAAAAAAACACAATCAAACTAGGCCATACTATGCTAATCTCTGCTATACCTTACTGCAGTCTTGGTTTTAATTGAGATTAGTCTCACCTTAGATGTGTTTAGTAGCACCAGTTTAGAACCTTACACTTGTCATGATTTGTCCAAACAATCGGGAGTGGAGAAATCCCGGAATTCGCCAAAGAATTTGGGCGTTCGCGCTGGTCCATGCGATCTGACCGATCAATCCCTCATGGAGCGAACCCAGCCCCATCTCTGTGTTCGGAAAACCAATGGCCAAGACATCCATCCCAGAGCTAAGTTGGATGATCAATGATCAGCATGATGTCTTTGACATTCTTTACGTACCCGGTGGGTGCCCGGCGTCGGTCCGAACATTTGCCGGTCCTCCAGTTGCAAGAGCAGGATGAATTCCAAGACTTTACCACCTGGGCCGGTGGAAGAGTTCGGTGGACAGTGGACACGTCTCCGCTTGAAGCTGAATTTGTTTTCTCTCATTCCTGTTCTGGTAAACATGCAGCACTGGCAAACACAGACAACATCTATAGATCTGTCCTTTTATACCGTCTAGCCTTTTAATTGCCGAGACTGGCTGAGCTCAACGAGTCCTCACACACTTACTGTAAGATGTTGCGTACTGACTCGAATGCCGCTCGCCACACGGCAACCTAAGAAAATCAAATCCTGAATGCACAAGAGGGGGTCTCAGTACCTGTAGTTAAAGGCCAGAAGGCAAACTCCACGATGCGACGAACCGACAGGATGACGTCGTTCGTTCTTGTCTACCGCGTGCACTAGCCCTTTAAAGGAAATGAGAGTCACAGCTTGAGAACAGCACAAACATTGCAGGTACGTCGGAGTGATCAACTCCGATATCCTCCCAACTCATGAGCAGCTTTGTTGGCAGTAAACTCATGAGTGGGCTACTGCCCCCTGCTGCTGAAAAAAAAACACGCACATTCCAAAAGGAACCTTGTGACTCCAAAGGATACACACACACTCACACACACCCAGTTTGGGAAAAAAACTGGCTCCCAACGTCTTATAACAAAACCCTGGCTCAAAATAAAATGCGGTGTGCCACAGGTTATATCTAGATGCAGAATCTGCTTGCAAGCACGTAATCCATCCAGAATCCAGGCTGCAAATAAATTCCTGTGATCACAACCTTTTAGAGAATCTGGCTTTCAGGAACTATGTTCCAATTTCAAATTATATACAGTGCAGAGGTCAGCCAACCTGCCGCTCCATATGATTTCGTAAAAAAACATATTTGTACTGGACCCCCAGGATTTAATTCTGGGAGTACAAACGGGGATATGGAACTCCCGTTTGTCTTACCAATACATCCCGCAAGCTTTTGGGATTGTGGCCGCAAGTTGAAACACTTTTGACGCTCGGAGAACCCAGTGTCATTGTGGGCCATCATGCCATGACCCCCACTGCCATTCCAGAAAGCATCCCGAAATGAGCACAAAAGGGATGTCCAATCGCTCCCAGCCGGTGACTAGCGCATAACAGGTATGAAGAAGCTCCAGCAATCTACCCAGCTACTGCCAACAAGGATCCTGAGGAATCAGGACGGCGTTTCGCTAAACACCAGTCAGTCTACACCAGCAAGTTCCATCTTCGGTGGAGCAGCCATGTGAACATCTACAACTGCCTGCGACCGCCGTACTCCGTACTCAGCTGCCCACCCATGAGCGAGCCATTGGACTGCAACTCTAAGCCCGGAACCTCGACCTGGCAGTCAATCAGTGGCTCGACTGGAGGTGTCCAGTGTCAGGATGGGATGCACCAGGATCGGATCATGGGGGCAGCAGATGGCACCCATCTCCATGGACCAAATGAGTATCGTGTTGGTGAACGGCGCGAGAAGCCCTGACCCATCGACCCGAGCTAGTTGCACATTGCCAACAGATTCAGCCATGGTGATTACAACTCCATGCGGCCAGGGGCACCCAAACGCATGGTTTCACCCATGAAACAAGCTGGCTTTCAACTTGCTCCACACCTGGGTTTGGGAGGATGAACGGCTCTACTTCGAGTCTATGATACGAGCATGGCGTCCCCCAACACATGCCATCCACCCAGTGGACTTCCGCCCGGACCTGCCAACTGCAGAAGTCCCCGACCAGGCGCAAGGGCAGCAGCTCTTCCACCTCGGGTCCAGTCGTAGTCGGTGTGGGATGCCCTTTTGTCATTAAAGAGGACCATGGATGATAGCAAAAAAAGGAGATGTCATGGGGGTCATCATGTCGAGGGACTTCTGTGGCTTTTGGGGTGTGTGCATTGGTTTCAACATGTTTCAACGTTCATTGGCCGTGTGGGTGGAGATTTCTTGCAAGCTATTGATTGTCTCAATCGCCCACGGCTCAGAATTCAGAAACTGCCAAACTACTTCTTTGCAGCAGGCGGAGGTGGGGCTCTTCAAGTCTCCATCGGGCGCAATCAAGGACGTTTCACTACTCATCATTCGAAGGTCTGAGTTTCAAAGTAACATCAACAAACTCAAGTGGTCTGGCTTCTCAGTGCCTCACTTCCAAGGTCTGGGTTTGCCTGGCTTGCCTCTCTTGCCTCTACACTCGTCAGCCGATCAGCCAACGCAGCCACCTCCCAGCGCCCGCATGTCATGCAAAGATGGAAGGTGAAGAGGAATGAGAAGGAATGAGAGAAGCCATAACACAGTAGTTCACTTAATGTTAATTATAGCTCTATATAAGATATATATTATATATCCGCACCTCCCACCAATGTATGAGGAGCCAGAGTCCCATGTGCCACAAATGCTCGATGTGTTTGCTCATCAAGGAGAGTTCATGCTCGATCGAGCCGTTTCCGGCCATTTTCCAGGTCCAAGCACGTTGCACACGCGTTTCTCCTTAGACCCTTCCATTGGTCCTGGAAGTCCTGGAGCAAGGATTGCTTTCCGCCCCGACTTCCTCCCGCCCCCCTTCCACCGGTCCATTTGTTCGCACCGAGACAGGTACCGTGACGCCTCACCGCCCAAATGCGTCCAAGGGACACTGGGTTTCTTGCTCCCCCTGGCAGCGGAGGAAGAGAGGCTGTGGGGGAGTGTCGATCATCGGATCACTGGATCAACATGGATCGACACTATGTCCTCCTGGAAGCCTGGAGCTTTTTGGGGGCGTATGGGCTTCAAGAGGACTACCCAGCGAATGGGCAAGCACTCGGGCACGCTGTGTGAGGCGTATTGAAGTACTCTTTGTCTTCCTGCATCTCTTGAACCCTGCCATTGCGGAGTAGTGGCCGCAAGGCCATGTTCCCTTTCATTGGTCATGACAGGGCTAAAGCCGTAGTCGATTATTCATGGTTAACATTTCATTTCTGATAGTTTGTCATAGTTAATGTCGCATTGATCACGTTCATTAATGGTTCCAGATTCCATCATTCCTTGCTAACACTTCTTGACGGCCGGATTTGCACCAGCCAGTGAGTCACCACGTTTCATCACTGCTACCACTCCACGACGGCACCTCATGTGGGCCACATGAGCTGCACGGCTGCACGGCGGCCCGCGCGCGCGAATTCAGCGCGCCATCCGGAATGACCAGGACAAAAGGCCACGCGTCTTTCCCTGCTACGCAAGCATCACATGGTCGTTGCAAGATGTTGCAAGGGCTAACCATCATCTGGGAAGGCAGGTCGACAAATGGTTTGCAACAGAACACAGCAGTGGGAATTTCGAATTGGAGCACGGAAATTAGAATCAACCCGAGCGCTGTCGCAAACGGCGACTGGGGGTGGTGAAGCTCCTTTGACCTGCGGTTGCATGGCGCAAGGAACATGACCTGAGACTTTCGACCTGCAGCTGTACTGACAAGTAATTATCATGCTATCACTTTAGGGCCAAAATCAGCTTTCAAATTTTGAAGAATGTCGGTGGGTATGTTTCAAAATCTGGGTGCCCCTGAAAAAATAGGGGGTTCATCTAGGTTGCGGTCTTCGATCCCCCAAATTTAAGAGTCCAATCTCTGGACCAGGGGCGTCCTATCGTTGTCAGGTGCATGGTTGTCTCTGAAAAACTATGCCGGGTGAACCTCCACAAATGCTATGCTGAAATTAGAAGAGAGTGGTCACATGGCTTTGGGATGCTTTGAGCGTGGTGTTGCGCCCAAACCTGGCTCAAATCCACGTAGCTAAAGCTGGACATGATCCAACACTATCCGAGCAGCTGAGGAAAAATAAACTCACGAACACTTGACTCCATACCTCAAGAGCCAGGGCCACAGCGAGCACGGGGCGGGTAAGCCGAAAAGCATCCAAGCGAAGAAAATACCAAGAAATAGCAGGTGTTGAGGGGAGATTATGAGGGGGTAAATCAATGGTTGTGTATGCTTGTGTCAGGTACCTGCCCATCCCCCAACACAAGCGGGCAGTAATCGGGCTGTATCCCAGGATGTGTGGAGTAACACTCGGCAAAGTTCGGCCCGAGGATGTGTGGAGTAACAACTAGCCACACTAGCCAAGGCAGGGCGTTCTGTTGGATTTTATATATCTAGGAATATTGATATATAATTACAATATAGTTATATTAATCGTCCATTAAAGCATGAATTCTATTACATGTCCCATATGCCTTTACATGGCTATGACTCATGGCTCGATTAAGTTAGCCTGGTCAAGAACACATGATTCAGACCTCCAGGGCCGGGGGGCCGCCGTAGGAGCGGGCCTACACCGAAGCTCCCCTGCAGAGGATGGTTGGGGCGGAGATGAGATGAGCGAAAGAAGGTGGGGTCTCAAAGTACGAAGCGCCTCCACGGTCATCAAACCCATAGACCCATAGAGTCAAATGAGCTTAAAATGAGGCTTGGTCTGACCAACCCGCCGTTCCTGAAAGCGGTCTCAGCTGCATGACCCCAAAAAAACAGCTTCGACGCAGCTCCTCTTGGCCACCCCATGGCGACAAATGGCCCACCTGGCGTCTTGATCCCCAGCAGCGGGACCGGTCTTGGTGCCAAGATCTAATAGAGGGCAACAACCGGCCTAAATACGTATGTATATATATATGTGTGTGTGTGTGTGTAAGTATTAGGTTTATATCTCTGTAACAGCATGTATTTCTTGCCTGGACGAGCAGGTTGGCATGTGCATGAAATCCGAAGGCCGGCCAGAGTAGATGTCCCAAGTAGTCACACGACTGGCATATTGACTGTGCTGCCACTAAATCCAAGCTTCTACCTGCTCTAATCTATCAGCTATGGGCTGCCCCTGTGCTGATCTAGTCGCAACAATGCAATTCGGGGAGGTGGTCATTCGGCAGGGGGCGCCACGTTCACATGGCAGGTGAACGACTTCCCCCCGACCCAGCGGGACCCCCCCCCGTTGACCACGGTACTGAGAGACCGGTCCTGTGGATCCACAGCGAGTCTCAGGGCTTCTGGTGACTGTCATAGAAGGCAGGCATGCATTGCATGCATGCTTGCTTGACCTGTTCACCAAGGAGGAGGGTTTGACTGATTTTACTGAGCTTCCCAGGGTTTCTTGTTTCAATCCATGGCTGGGTGCACCCAACACCCCAAGTCCGCGATCAATCTCCGCCACTCACGCACCACCACCACCGGATCCGCATTCCCACCGTGGCGGTCCTTGATCCGCCAAGCTGGACCAGTGGGGTCATCCGCGCGACCGACGTCTTCCCCACCTCCAGCACGAGGCTTCCGCCATCCTGGCACCGTTGATGCGGCGGCGAAAACGGCGGCGCCGCCCGACCAAAGAGCCAAGGTGGATCAGGTGACTCCCTGACTGACGCCCGAAAGATGGGCCACGTGCGAGGAACATGCGTTTGAGCAAAAGCAAGGATCAAAATCGGATTGCAAAGGGCACCCTGAAGCCCTCTCAGGGTGGAAACTTGTGATTGTGGGTCTGCTGACAGGGCTTCGTCAGTACGCGTGACATCTTCCAGAGCCCCAGCGCTGTGTGAGATGTGGTTGCGGATTGTGGCACCACGCAGTCACGCATTCTTGAGAGTAGGGGAAGGCTGCTGACTCCACAAGCTTGGCTGGTCCAAGTTACCGGCTGGAGCCTCCTCCTCGCATGGACACCCGGAAGACCAAGTGTTTGATTCACATCAGAACGACGCCATCCCCGCCCAGAACCCAGAACCCCCGCCCCCGAAGCCCTGCCCCCCCATCCGACGGCCTCACGTCGTGCATCCATCCGGAGCCTTCGGGTGCCATGTCGACCCTTCAAGTCCAACCTCGCGGTTCGGTCGTGGCCGGTGGCGAGGGGGTCCGCCAAGAACGTCCGAAGCGGTTCGCGCGCGCCGTGGTGGCGCCCGGGAAAGCGTGAACATCTGCGGCTGAGGTTGGTACAGGGTGCTACCTACATGTTGCATATGTATATTTGACACATTGCTTGATGGGGCCAAGGCACCACCCCACTAGACCAAGGTGCACTTCTGGGGACTGGGTCCCTCAAGATGAGTCACTAGTCGGGTTCACACTCCTCAGGCCATCGCACCCAAGAGTATCCAAGAATAACCCGAATGAGTGCCAGACGCCTTAAGAGGGCCCCTTCCTCTTGTCGGCCTATGAAGATTTAACAAGAGGTATCGGCATCAACGGTATCAACACTCCAAAAGAGCGCCCGTCAACTTTCAAAGGAACCATCATCATCCTATCCCTCCTCATCTTGCTCTTGGGCTACCCCATCGTCTGCGGCCTTTCTATTCTCCAGTGGGCAGCTCGTGCACGGCATAAGCTGCCCGCAATGGTCGCGGGGAAAAAACATCAGAACCAGCCCGGTTGCACCACCTCCAGTGGAGCGCACCGGGGCGAAGCTCCTTCAATGTCATCAGGCCTGACTGAGGGAAGCACTGGGTGCCCATTGGGTGCCAAGGCATCAACATCATCAACATCAATCAACACAGCTAGGGCATAGAGTTATGGAAAAGCATGTGTGCAGCACTGTGTGCCCTTAGTTCTTTGCGCAAGGACGACGTCCCCATCTAAAAGACCCTTCTGGCGTTTTGAGCCAGTATGTGAAAGCGGCAACTGGCCCATCTGATTGAATCTGATCTAAGTACATGGCATTCCACTATAGCTACGTGCCCATTACACCGTCATTGTTCCACAAGCCCTGCGTCAAACCTCCAGTCCGCCCCGCACCTCCGCCTCAGTCCCTAGGCGGCCACCTTGCTCCGCTTTGCGGCGCGCTCGGCGGAGGGCATCTCGTTGCCGACCTTGAAGGCTGACTCGATGGCCTGGCTTGCCGGCTTGGGTGCTGGAAACGGGCACCTGGGGAAATGGCAGTCTGAGGCTCAAAATCCAGCATGATCAAACCAGTTAACTCGAGCAGGCATTCATCTGCTGGAGTGATCAGCAACCGCAAAAGCCTTCAAAGCATTCCCCACGCATTCCTCCGCCCCCCTGCATGTCCTGGATCCCCCCTGCACCCTCACCTGGTCGTAGTTCATCCGTGGGTCGCAGTAGGTCTCATAGTTTTTCAAGAGCATCTCTTCCGTCAGCCCCACGGAGCCACCCAAGACCTCTGTCACGCTCTGGCCTAGGTCGAAAGGGGTGTGTGGGAAAGGCCGGACCAGGCGAATCCCAGCGGTTCGCCAACAGAGCCGCGAATCCAACACCACGAGAAGTGTTTTTCACCTCGCCTTTGATGGCCTGGAGCAAAGCTCACCAAGTATACTCGGGCTGTGTCGGATAAATGGGCTTTCGCATGAGTCCCAACTTGGAACGAAACAGGTGGTTCTAGACGAACACGATGAACTCAGAGTACGATTCCAATGGGTGATCTTCGTGTGATGGAGAGTGGGAATGATGAACCGCCGAATACCGCCGATGCGGCTTCCGAACACCACAGGAACCTGCTCGACGGTAGATTCAGGTAGACACCCCGCTCTCTCTCTCTCTCTCGCCCTCGTCCGAGCCTGAGCATTCAAGGTGGATTCCACCCAAGATGGATCCACACCTCTTGTGAATAGCCATCACCTGCGCACCATGTGAGCCAATCGCTAACTACTGGGGATGAGAACAGCAGCTAACAGCTCCTGGGACGCGAGTTTGGGGGGAGGCTTGGGTCTTTGAAGATGTTGCTTTAACGCACGAGAACTTGATGTGACTGGCCACCCAAACTCACACCAGAAACAAACAGAAACATTACCCAAAATCCCAGGGTTGCGCCAGCGAATCTCTTCACTTTGAGGGTCCCAACAGACACGATTCACGTGTTCAACGGACACCCCAGTGGTGAACTGTGGGGGGCGTTGACCGACACTGATCAAATGAGCCTCGAAGTTGAGAGAGTTCAGATTCTACAGAGTTCGAGGTACCCAAGATGCACCAAGTACTTCCGAAACAGAACGGGAATGCCCTGGGCTGTTGCATCCTTCGGACCAAATGAAATCATCAATGAGTCCCGACGAGTTAATTCCGCAGGTCGCTGTGGTGGTCCCTGTTCCTTCCCATGTGCAAAGTGGTTCGGAGTGCGCACCTCCACGATCTCCTGCCAAATGTCCTTCGCCGCACGCGTCTTCAGCTTATTACTCGCCACAATACCTGGGCCGTGAGGGCGCATGACCTGGTCATGAGGCCCTCATGGTTTAAAAGGAAATGGCCGTGGTGTCCATCCCTCTGACCAGTTCCAGACCTACGAGTACCCACTACATTGGATTCTTCGATCGTTTCGGTCCATCGGTCCATGAATCCATGGGCTCCTCCTTGTCAGGATAAAGCTTTACAGTGTCTCATAGCTTGTGACTAGCTCTTGGCAGGATAAGGACATCTGCCTCACCACTACCATAGCCGATGCACTTAGAGCCTGGAGTGGGATGCCATACTTAGCAAGCTTAGAACCCGTGGGATTTTCTGGTGTCCTACACTTAGAGCAATTGCCCCATGCATGCTTTGAACCCTGTCCGAAAGCTCTTGCAGCAGAAATTCGCAAGTATGAGCCCTTCACTTGTGTGAGAAACAAATTGCCAGGGAAGAAGTTCTGGAGTTCCTTGCTCCTTGAGTTCTGTGCATGTATGTAATTATATAGTTTGCCACTCTATATATAATATATATATATATATCGTCTCAAGATGTCCTAAGTATTGACAGAGTGAAGGTGCTCTTAGAAGCTGCAAGGAAAATAGGCGAGCTGTTCAAGACTTGTTCCAAGTACGAAGTCCCTCAAGTTCACCACGATGTACATCGCACTTCTGCGTGCCTTCGCCTCTTTCAAGATCTTTCAATCTTCAAACCTTTTAAACTGACATTGCCAACTGCCCCAGCTCATCTACTTCCATCCAAGTGAATCCCAGACTCCTCCCAGTCATCCCATGCCACTCCTTCCCCCTTCCTTCCCCACCAGGCCACCATTCCCGTGCACGGCATCGCATTGCCAAACGACAGGGACGCCTGAGGCCTTGACCGCCTCGATGTGGCCAGGCAGCATCGACTCCGCCTTCCCGGCGCCGTATCCTCAGAGCGGCGGGTCCAAACAGCCGCTGCACCGGTGGGGGGGGTTCCAAACATGGGCGGAACGGTGCGTTTGACCAGTTGAACAGCCAGGTGACGGCGGGGATGGGCGGTCATGGGGAATCACGTTTTTTTCGTTGGAAAGACTTGTTGGAAGAGCTCTGATCTAAAAGGCAAATGTTTGGCACGCTTCAAGGTGCTTCACCTGTCTTCTTTTGCATTTGGCACCTAAAACAAAAAACGTGCAATCGATAGCACAACCCCCCGGAAGACGTTCAGGCCGACTGCACCCAAGACCAGCGGCGGGTGATCAGCATGAGGCGGCCCTGCTCCTTCTTGGGGTTTAAGACTTGAACCAGCTCTTTCAGCCTCATCACCGCCAGGTCTGGCAGCATCGGCCGTCTTGTTAAGTGTATACGCATGAGGGCATTCGGAAATGCTTACACGTTGCTTACATGTATGCCGGCCTCAGCACATAAGAACAATACATAATACTAATACTCCTCCACAGCCGCAGCCCATAACGATGTTGATGCATGCATGATAATGATATGATATGATATCATATGTACAAATCAAGATCAAGTGACCACGTGACCAGGAAACTTGGCCAACCACCCAACCCCTTGAACTCATCTCTGACGACCTACTGTATATTGCATGTGTATTACAAGATGTATATATATATATATATACAGTAGGTGATGCATCTCAGAGTGCACCTTGTAAAATCCTAGCACCAAGAGCCGGAGGTATGAAGAGCAGTAGCCATGCCGCCAAGAAGTGACTCGCTGAACTCATCAGGTGGATTCACCTCCACTTCCGAGATCCGTTTCGTGTTGAAGATGGGTTCACCCGGAACGTGTCCGAACTCTCCAGGTCGGTCGGAATGCGAAACGAACCGGTTTGGGGGGGGGGCACCTTTTCGGGAGGCTCAATCAGCCTCCTGGTTGTTCTTGTCTGCATGCCAACGGTTCAGCTGTGCAGCTCATCGTTCTTCATCGATGGGCCGACCTTCACGGCAATAGGGTTCGCAATGCCCTTGAAGTACTCGATGTGCGCGCAGTCCTGTAGGAAGGGGTCGGATCATGCATCTCACCCCTCTATGCTGATCGGTATCCCACCAACAAGACATGAATCATGAATGTGGCTCGCGTTTCGACGAAGACTTGATTGAAGACGGCATTGGATCCTCAGGGAATACTATATAATGCAAAAGAATACCAACAAACAAAAGAAGGACAAAGGTCACTGAAAGCGTTCCAGTGTCATAAGAACAGAAGCCATGAAACAAACAAGTCCTGCCACCATGAGGCTCAAATCTTGCCAAAGGCTAGTTCAAGGATGCAAGTGGAAGTAGAAGTGAATCAAAGAATATCAAAGATAATGAATCCATAGGACGAAGGCATTCTCATATGAAGAGGTGAAGTTCTCAAAATGCGGGTATTGTAATGCACATGCATATCTAGTTTACATAGTTTAAATACATTACATCGCATCGCATTGCATTGCATTACATTACAATACATTACCTTACATACATGCATATACGGTTTCATAATAGTCTTGCTCACCCCGGTTGTTCATTCGGCCCCTCTCGACTTCCCCGCTCCAGCTGCCGCGTCCGATCTCCAATCCAAACCATGTGGGCGCTGAGATTGTAGAACTTCCCGTCGCTCAGGCGGGTGAGCGCCTCCGAGGCAAAGAAAGACCGAAGAGGTGAGGAGAGACTCGGAGTCTCGGAGTGTGCGTACTTCTTCTAGAAGGATTGGCACGACTTGATGGATGCGTGATAGGGTCGGGCCAGCTGCTTCTTGAGAGGTAGCACAATAGCAACTCTAGACACAATAGCAACTACAATAGCATACCTCTTTGGGCCGGCTTTTGGAGCCCCAGGACCGAATTTTTGGGGCCTCCTCCAAGTCCAACTGCATCGCCTCGTGGGAGGTGAAGAACTCCTCAGTCCGAGGGAAGGGGATCCAGTGGATCCAGTCACCACAGAAAATGGTCACCTGTGGTTCCAGTTTCCGGTTTCAACTAAAACCATAGACCGAACGAGGCTCGACAAGGGCCCCTGGTTCCTTATATAGTGGATTCTAGTGGCCGCCACTGTGGCTGCCTGGGATCGGGAAGCCAGGGCCTGGGATCGGCGAGATCCAAAGACCGTCACTTTCGGAGCAGCTTCACCAAAGGGAGGAACCGTAAGGAATTTGGGAGGAACCTTTCAACCTGCGACCATGAAGAAAGCACTTGTTGGCTTTGTAGGACGCCGCAATTCGGCAGGGGGGCTGTCTTTCCAATCCAAAATCAACCCACCGACGAAATCAGAGTGGTGAGTCAGCTAGTGTCCCGTTTCCAGGCAACGCTGGAATCGCCCCAAATACCCAAGCGAGAGTGGATCTTTAGCAAATACACCAAAAAGGGATCTCAACAAAAAAATTTGATCAAATAATCCAACACTGCACCCCAGGCCATCCAGTGTATGCCCAATCCGGGAGGGCTCGTTTGGGAACCCGAAACGTTATGGCAGTGAACAGATTTGCAATAGATTTTCCACGGCAGCGGGGAAGGGTTGCTGTGATTTCGTTGGGGCCTTTCCTTCGCTGGCTGCTGAGGTGCCATCTGGACAGGCCACGTCAAATAGACCAAAACAAATTGAAAGTTTGCTCTCCATTCCCCTGACGATCGCTTCACCCCGGCCCTCGACTGTGAGGTCCAAAAACGCCCCTCACAAACCGCACAAGTTCAGGCAAGCCCCCAGGTGCATTGACCCTTGGCCCACTTCCCATCTCAAACAACAACATCTCCGCACAGCCTGTTGGAAACATCCAGCAGGTGCCAAAAACGTCCCACGAACGTCTAGGCCAAGCGTCTACGGACTCCGGCGTGAGCGCCTTGCCAGCGATGGCCTTTGCATCATCACTGTAGCTCGCGAAGTGCTCGGACGCTTTTAGCGCCTGAGGCCGAGGTGGCAGCTTTTGCATGCAAAGAACATCAAATAACAAAAGATTTAGAAAATTCCACCAAGGAAACCAAAACCATGAAAAAACAGATCGGACGATATCAGTTCTGGTGAATGCGCCTGAAATGCTGCAACTCACTGCTTCAAACCCAGCAAGCATTGTAACCGCATACATGCATGCATACATACATACATACATTCATTCATACATTGATACATTCATACATATCATACATTACATTGCATTACATGACATTACATTACATACAAACATTACACTACATACATTACATGCGTTACACACAGTACATTTTATACATACATACATTACATAAATACCTACATACATACATGCATCAATGCATACATTGCATTACATTACATGACACTACATGACATGACATTACATTACATATATTGCGTTACTTTACTCTACTTTACATACATACATGGGTTCACGCATGTACAAACATACATGGATGCATACATGAAGGCGTGCATACATACATACATACATACCATACCTTACCTTACCTTACCATACCATACCACACTACCACACCATACCAATACAATACAATACAATAGAATACATTACATTACATGGCATTACATACATACTAGCTACAACAGAACATCGCATAACATAACATAACATTACATTACAATGATTTCATTACATTCAATCAATCATATACATATGTACATTACCTACATACATGCATACATACCATTACATGACATTACCTTACCTTACATTACATTACATACACACAAACATACGCGCATGCATGCACACACACACTCTAAGATCATTGCTCGCAAGAGCTCTGTCAGTTGCGACATCCACGTGGAGCTAGCACTTTACGGTACGGAGAGCTAGACCTTGACTTGCAGAACGGAAAGGTGATTCATCAGCAGAAAAGAATGTTTGAACAAAGATGCATCAGCACTTTACAGGGAGAAGGAGGGTGACAGCTTGGGAAAATCACAGCCGGAACTAGTGCATGTACGTCAGCAAGCGTCCTTGCTGATATCAGCACAACCTGAAGAACCTCTTTTTTGGATGCCCTCTCTTCAGGTGTGGGGCATCCCCCTGCCTATTGAATGCAAAATTTGAATTAGCGCGAAAACCATTGTGGTCATGTTCCTTTGGCACAGAATTCTGCGCACACACACACGATGCCGAATTCGGCGCTCAGGGGGGAAAAATGGCGAGCACTTGACTGAAAAACTTGGTTACGGACCTAAAACGCCTTTAGAACGAACAAAAGCCGAGAAAGAGAAACGACCGCAAGAAAGAAAGAAAGAAAGAAAGCAGGGGGGGGCAAAAGGGTGTGCAATGACTAAACGAGCCTAAACGACAACCTAACAAGCCTGAAGAAAGACCAAACACACGAAAGAAGGCCAGGAGAGAAAGGGGTGCAGCGGTGTGTGTGGGGTGGGGTGGGGTGACAGGCTCGGGCCCGAAGGCACTTGACCAGTAAGCCGAATTCGGCGCACCCTTGACTAAAAGGCCTGCGTTACACATAAAACCTTTGAGAAACGAAGAGTGACCTAGAAAACGAAGAGAGCCCTAAAGAAGGAAAGCAAGACAGCAAATTAATACTTAGCTGCATGGCATGAATCCTACGAATACTTAGCGGCGTGTCATGACATTCTTTGGATGTTGTCAGTGGGCTCTGCGGCATTCAATCAGCGACCTCAAGCAAGAACGAATGATCAGTGGGAAGCAAGCTGAAAGGAGATTTCTGTGGAAAGCTCCCTTAAGGATCTATGCTCAACGCGCCCTCGATGGGATCACACAGCATACCGCAGTGGGATGATGCTGCGACACACACTGGGATCATTGCGCGCAAGAGCTCTGTCAGTAGTGACATCCACGTGAAGCTAGCAGTTTGCGTTACTGAGAGCTAGACCTGGACTTGCAGAACGGAAAGGTGATTCACCAGCAGAAAAGAATGGGCGCATTAGCACTTTACAGGGAGAATGAGGGTGACAGCTTGGGAACATCACAACCGGAACTTTACATTATTGCAGGTACGTCAGCAAGCGTCCTTGCTGATATCAGCACAACCTGAAGAGCCTCTTTTTTAGATGCCCTCTCTTCAGGTGTGGGGCATCCCCCTGCCTATTGAATGCAAAGCTTGAATTAGCACGAAAACCATTGTGGTCATGTTCCTTTGGCACAGGAATTGACACACACACACACATATATATATATATATGCTACCCCCCCCAAGTACCCCCGTTTTTCTTCAAGCGCAGATAGACCAGATGACTGCATTTTCATGTCACAGCAAAAAGACACTTGCATATGTATTGCGTAGGATGCACCAGATGACAGCAGACGATACACTTACAGTTGCATGCTAAAGCTTACCAGATGACAGCAGACGATACACTTACAGTTGCACGCTAAAGCTTGCGACTTGTTACTTGAGAAGCCTTCTGAGAAGCAGACGCAAGAGAAGTCCTATTTGTTACTTGACAAGCAGACACAGCCAGCACAGACTTTTTCAATCCCTGATCGAAGGTGCTTCACTCAACTGGTTTGACAAACTTTTGTGTCAACCATGCGCAGAGGTCACCGGAAGCCACCCACAGATCCTTATTCCGATTCCAGTACTCATACTGGATGGACCGGATCTGCTCCCGGAGCCTCATTGAGCCTGCCTTGGAATGTTGGTTCAAAGCCAGGCGAGACTTAAAGAACCGCCAAACACGATCAATGATTTGGGTGCCTGGCTTCACCTTGATGACTTTCCCTGAATATGGCAACTTGTGTTTGCGCAGAGACACATATTTGGGAGCCATCCACGCCCATTTTCCCTCGACCTTGACGCGCTTTTTACAATGCACTACATGGTCATGGACAACCATAGGCAGACGAAGCTTATAGCTTCGAGCTGAATCAGTGTGGAAAATCAATTTCCTACCGCTCAGATGCTTTTCAGCAATCGGCTGCCACTCGTGCTTGCGAATGGCGCCAGGACCAGGCGCCCGTGGCTCTGTCAGTTCAGGACGTAGACGGTGCAAAATCAAAGTGTCCGGTTGCCCCCTTTGCACCATTCCAACCCACTGCTCCCACTCCATGAGATTCTTGCCATCCTTCTTCACCGGCTTCTTGTCAAAGGTGGTCTCATCTCCCTCCACATCTACCCACGTCTTGCAATTTCCAAAGGCAATTTTTTTCAGTTGCCTCCACATACTTTTTCCTTCCAGCTGCCAGCTTCGAGCGCATGTCCTCAATGGCTTTGTGGTTGACACGCAAGGCATTGTGAATGACTCCATTGGAAACCTTGTTGAGGAGGAGAAAGAGCAAAGCACTCTGGAATCTGGAGTGGATGACCTTCGGGCCCCTTGCATTCAGTGAAGAGAGGGTGCAAGTAATGTGGATTCAACCAAGCTTTGCAGCGCCAGTAGTTGCACTTGTGCTTCAAGCTTCCATTCCGTGGCCCAGGCTTCAGCTTCGAGAGGGTGCCGTGCTCGCACTTGGGACATTGCTTACCTTCCCATGAGACCAATATCTTGTCTGCTACAAGCTTCTCCACAATGCCCTTGTCATCAGCGCGCACGAGGTCCAAGAGACTGCGCTTCCATTTGGACTGGTCCATGCGAAGACCACGGGGCTGCACGGCACTCTCGTCCCTCGTGTAGGGCACCTGGCTCCAAGCTTTGCTTTTGGTTGATGCCGGCTCTTCTGCACCATGCGAGCCTTACCTTTTTTTGGCGCGGGAAAAGGGTTGAATTTCGCCATCAAGGGATGCAAGAGGAGGTATGGGAGCTTCTGAACTGATCTGTTGAAACGGCTCGTGAATACACAGGAATGCAACCTGCAGTGAACGTTTGTGAATTTCAAGCTATGAAGGAAAAAGCAACGCACAAAGTTTCGACACAAGTACCTTTTTTTACACGCTCGTGTGCATTGGATCTTTTCCCGATGCTGACCAAAAACGGACACCTCTCAGTCCTTAAGGCCTAGATCTGCTGCAGCTTCTTCGTCTGCAGCAAACTCAGCATCTTCAGGGAGCGCTGCGGCAGGCTGGGGGCCGTGGACCACTTGCTCTTCAGACTGGACTCCTTCTTGCGAGGCTTTCTTGCGAAAGCGTTTCTCGGGAGATGGATATTTGAAGGTTGGGCGGCGCCGAGGGGCATTTGCCGGCCGTGGAACTGGTACTGGTATGAGAGGTGCAGCAACCGCCTCCTCAGGGGAACTGGGTGAATTTTCATGCGCTGTCCACATTTCTGGAAAGCGCCTGTTGCGAAGCAGGGCCTCTTCCACTGCATCTCTGGCATGCTTGACATATTCAGCTGGCTGCACACATTGTAGATATTTGGTCATGCTTGCGTCAATCATGTCTTGCTCTTCCGACACCTTGTCATCAAAATCAGGTGCCTTGGTGCTGAAGCCGCTCTTGTAGTTCCCGTAGAACTCTTTGTCCATTTCTGCGAGCAAGTCCTTGTGCAAGTCGTCCACGTTGATCCGGTAGATCGGCTCATCGGCACTTTGACTGGGGAGCCGCAGGTACAGCGCATGCAAGCCGAAATAAAGACAACTGTCCTTTTGAGAACCGCCATGACATCCGCAGGAATAGTTTCAAAAAAGTTTAGAACTAAGATTCCCCCAGGCTCTCCAACAGCATTCTTAGTTCTTAGTTCCCAAAAGTTTTAAAACTTTTAAAACTTTTTTGAAACTTTCTTGACCTTCAGATGTGGGAAGTAAGACTTGTCCCCAAGAGTTCTGTGCATTCTTAGTTCTTAGTTCCCAAAAGTCTTAAAACTTTTAAAACTGTTTTGAAACTTTCTTGACCTTCAGATGTGGGAAGTAAGACTTGTCCCCAAGAGTTCAAACAATATATATGGTACCCCCCCTGCACATCTGACACCAAGACATGAAACATGTCTTTACCTCCAAGTTTAGTGTGAACCACACAGAAATGGGGGTACATCGGGGGGGTACCATATAGCTATATATATATATATAAATTCATATGTGTACACATACATATGTACATGGTTGGTTTCCAAAATGTCTTTTCCCAAAATGGTGTACTCATCGCAATTCCATGGGGGCCCGCTTCTAAATCTCCTTTAAACTTCAACCACACTCAAGCCACAGGGATGTTAAGCATGAAGGCGTGTGAACTGCAAAAACTGTGAGAGGTGTCTAGCGCGGACTGCTGAGATGCTGGAGCTGTTGCTGCTGCTGCTGCTGCTGCTGCTGCTGGACTCCTGCAGCTGTTTCCACTTTTTGCTCTCAGAAATCTTCAGAACGATATAATTAGGAAGGACGTAAGAGCTGACTCAAAATTATTTAGATGTTGGATGGGCAAGTGGTCAAGAAATGGACCGTCGTCTAGCGCGGTGCTAGCGCGGATCTAGCGCCAGCCTAGCGCAAAAATCTCCGTCGATTTCTTTATCCTGTCAGATTCTTATTTTTCCTGCTTGCTTGTCTTCTTCTTGTTGTGCATTATTCTTCTTCTTCTTCTTCTTCTTGGCTTTTTTTTCTTGTCTTGCTTCTTCTGTTTCCTGCTCTCTGCTTGTTTCTTCTTTTTCCTGCTTGCTATCCTGTTATGAAGAAACCTAGCGCCAACCTAGCGCCAATCTAGCGCTGTCTTGCTGTATCACCATATTCTGCTAGGGCCCGCTTCTAAACGAAGACTTAAAAACACATCTACAACCTTAAAAGTTTACATTTATCTATTTTTTTGAGTAGGGCTTGTTGAGCGCAGTCCACATATATAATATGCTGCATCATAATATGCTGAAAGTTGTTTTGTGCAGCCCTGGAGCTTGAGGTTTCTGGTGGCTGAGGGTCTCGGGTCTCACACTCCTTGACAAAGCTCAATCTGAGACTTGATTGGGGATTCCTCCAAACCATTCTCGAGTCCAAAAGACCTCAACCCACCCTCTGCTCTCCATTCCTGAGACCTCTCAACACCCCCCAGGTGCAAACCCTGCCGGTTCCATCTCCAAAGCTCTTCCACGGAAATGGTCTTGAGCGGCCCATGCTCGCCAGAACTTGCGTAGCCCCGCAGGAAGTTCAGGGTGGCCGCCGAATGCCAATAGCCTAGGAGAAGTCGTTCTGGATCCCATTTTCCTCAGCGGCGTTTTTGGGGCGTGTGACCAGCTCAGCGCCGGCACATGGTCCAGTTCCCTGGATCATGGCTGGACCAGTTGAGCATGATTAAACTCACCTCGACTAGCTCGGGGGAGCAACCAGGGTCGATGAACACATCCCATAGCCAGGTCGGATATGATTCTCATCGGTCGTGGATCGTGATCTTCCAATCCACCTCAGGTGCATGGGACCCTTTGAGGCCACAAGCTTTTTCAAATTCCTTCTGCAAAAGCTACCCTCAAGGAACTCCGCATCAGGCTGAAACGCCTTAACATTCAATACAATAATAAAACAATATATATATATAGATATGATATGTAATAACAGAAGGACTATACTTGTATAAGTATGCTATGTATATATATATTGTGTGATATTGTTTGTGTGTGTGTCTGGGTGTGCACTGACGTTCTGCTCTGCAAATGAGCGCGCAGGCTGTAAAAACATGTAAAAACCCATTATCTAGTCTGCCCACCCCAAACAACTGCCAGCAGCACGACCAACGAGTATAATAGGAAAGGTTCTAGGGTCGTGCTTCCCAAACAGGCTCTGAATAAGCTATATACAAAGGTCCGCTATCAAAAGATCTTGCGATGGCACTCTGTAAAAACAAATTTGCCATGCTTGAGAGTAAGCAACCTGGAAACCATGTTCGTCTACTTGGGGTCATCAAAGAATCCCCCATCAACTATGGACTCCTGCGAACGGAACGCCCTTCACTCCTTGAGATCCTTGCGTTGGCTGAGCATGAAGCCAATGCCTCCCACCGGGCCCACAGGATGCTCCGCCCATCTCGCGGACGCCCAAGGCTCGATCTTTGGGGTCAAATCCGTTGATGTTGTCGCCCTGGAGCAGTGCGCTGAACTGCGCTGCGTTTGCAGAAAGACGAGCGCCACTGTCCGAGCGCAGAACCGACGAGTTTGTGGAGGGAGCGACGTCGAGGAGCAAGCCATCGGATTTAGAGGACTCGAAGGAATATGATGGCTATGCGCACGCATCCTTGGGCTATTTAAAGCCAAGAATCCAAACATATCCAAACTATGTGGTGTGGTGGCTAGTGGGGTATCCAAAAGTCTCACGCCTCTAGCCTAGTGGTTGGCACCATCTACTTGGGTTCAAAAATGTGCATGTGACCAAACCAAAACCAAGGTGCCATGTGACCCTGCTTTTGTTGGCGTCCCCTAGCAGCCCAGGGCTGCTAGCATGTTCCATCTGAGAGTTCTGAAGAAAAGGCCGCCGGGTCTGCACGGCCCTTTATGGCCATTCCATAGAGATGCTCAACGCAGGATCATTAGAGCAACAGGAAGCCAAAGAATTTGGATTGGTCTCTAGATCGGGCCTTGCTTCCTGGCGCCTCTTTGGAGTTAGAGCACTCACACCAGGAGATCCTTGCTTTGTGATTCCAAAAACTGCAGGCTGCCGACTGTCCCCCAGGACCCTTGCGGCATTGCATTCGTGCTCTAAAGATCCTATTCGTGCTCTAAAGATCCTATAGCAAGCCAAAGAAGCCACCCTAGGAAGGCAAACCAGCTGTAGCACTATTACAAGACACTATCTCATCGACTCATCTATCTAAGTTACCCATATTTCCACGTTTTTGGTTACCCTGTCTTCTACCAGTCTTGCCGGTGAGGCTTTCAAGTATCCCCATGCAACTTTGCCCCCGGGCTTTGAAGCTCATGATCTCCTTCCCCTCCACCATCTCCGTGGGCTTGGACCTGTTGCGGTGGAAAAGGAGGCCCTTCCACTTCAAAGAAGAACCTACATGTTTGACTCATCATGTTCACACTGCGTGAAAGACTCTAAAGGTCAGGACTATATGCTTGAAGTCCACTAGCCTGATGTACACTTCACTGTGTATGTAGTTTAAAAAAAAATATATATATATACATATATCGACTTAAAAGGTCTAGAATGCCCCAAGCAAATTCTCCGGCAGATTCGAAGATCGGTCGAAGATCGATGGGTCGACAGGTCCGCAGCAAAGAAACCGCTGACCGAAGGCTCCCGATCATCGCTTCTCTTGAATGACCTTTCTAGGGCTACTAGGGCCTTTCTAGGGCCCTTCTAGGGCGACTTTTTGGGAACTTGACTGCCTCCCCATCGCCCCATCACCGCGGAAGGGGGCCGGCATCACCACCCAATCACCCACTCCCTCATTCCAACCGCCCGGAGATCCGGCCTCGGCTTCCCGTACTGCCCGGCGATGCGGCAGACTTTCAAGGTCTTCTTCCCGCTGAGGTGCTCGATGATCTCAGCGACTTGGAGAACCACTGAGACCCAGGACAGGGTCTTCGGTGCTGGCGCCCACGAGCACACGAAGACAGGGAACGTGAAAAAAAAACAGGTTGTGGACGGATCACATGGCCCCATGGTCTTGGATCACATGGACACCGGTCTCAGGATTAAAAAGTGTTTGGTTTCGGGATGCGGTCCATGTCCATCTTGTTCCCGACCTGTGGGTCACATGCTTCTTATCCGCAGACAGGAAATCGAATGGAACTTCCTGCAGAAGATGGCTGAGGGGGGTCCTACGGCTTTCTTTCTTGCCAGTTCTGATGAATGATTTAGAATGTTTTTCAAATTTAGAACATCTACTGACCTGCCAGGGTAGTCCCAAAAAATATGAGCGGGCTCTTGCGAAATCCATGAAAACTTCTCAGCAACCTTGACGATTCAACGACTTTAGCTTAGACAAACGAAACCCATAGAAAGACGACAAATCAGCATCTTCCCCATGCCTGTCGACGTAAATGCAAGACGATCAACCCTCATCCGTTCCCCCATCTACCTCCAAGGTCCCCCATGGCAGCCTAGAGACCATGCCCATCTGCAAGATGAGCTTCAGCTGTTGCTCAAGGCGTCCAGCCTTGCAATCCATGAAGCGTTCCGCGCAGTCGCCGCCCTGCACGATGAAGCGCTCCCCACGGCCACACTCGGCCAGCAAGAGCTTCAGACGCTCACATTCCTTTGGCTGCACCAAAGGGGGCAGCTCTCCTCGTCTCGCGTTGTCGCACGGCACGCAGCGCGAGATTTGGGCCTTGTGGCATCTTGTGGCCAAAACGCTCGTCAGGTTGGTACGCCAAAGATGTCAACATAGAGAGAGGGAGGGCATAACGACATAGTATAGATTGGTATACTGTCATCGATTCCCTCCCACCACAATATTTGACATTGATCCCATGGTGTCCATTTCGGGGTTGAGCAGATGAGATGCTTCCAGAATCTGCCCCCGCAAATCCCAAATCCTGCACTGCCCTGGCACTGAACATACTTATCCCATCATATCCCGCACCTGGTTCCCCCTCCTCAGCTCCCTCCAGTCATGTCTTTGAGCTCACAGGTGCTGGACAAAGACCTAACCGGCCTAACCCCCCCCCAGTGCTTGGCCTCCGCCGAGCCCCTTGCAGTCCGAAACGCCGAGCTTGCTGAAGACCCTCTCCGCCACGGCCTCGCAACGGGCGCCCGCCGGCCGCGGTTGGTCGACCATTGGAATAAGGTGCCGCGAAGGTGCCAGAGGTGAAACGACTTGGTCCACCTTTAACCTACAACCATGAAATGTATTGGTGTGTACAAGGTGAAATGATGCCATCATTGAATAATGATGTTTTCTCACGTGAGACAAAATTTACAGTAAACACAAATCAATCCTAACACGAGTTCCAAGCTTTGGCCGTGCTTGGAATGCGTTGGTCCTAACTTCCCCCCGGCACCCGGGCAACTGCACTCACACTCTCCACTACCCTCTGGGACCCTGTGCTGGCTGATGGGTTGCTGATGCTTCCGGGTTCTGGGGCGCAGGTCTGATCCAAACGCCAAAAGGTTGCATGACAGGCGACCTTGGGTGAAGTCCCTGTGAAGTTCGTTGGTGTGTGACGTTGTGTATGGGCTCCGCTTTGAACGAGGAAGGGTGGACGAAGGGGAAGCTAGGGGAATGAAGGAAAGGATGGAGGAATTAGCATGAGGATGAAAACGACGGGTTGCCAGTGGCAGTGGCCTGTTGTCATTTTGAGTAGAAGTGGTACAGATTCTTCAGCTTGTGGTCATAGTCGGTTCGTAGTGTTTGCTTGCACTCGAGTATATGATTGGATCTGCCAGCTTGGTCAACGTGGGGTTCCCCATCTCCACCTCATGCTCAACTGCGTCACTCAAGAGCTCATCAACTCCCACGTCCCACCGGAAAAAAGGCCAACGGCCCAGCAGCCTTGTCCTCCCACTCTGCCATCTGATGCTTGGGAAGGGATCTCCATGAGCTAGGTGTCCACGACATGGCAACCAAAACTGTGTGCAGAGCTAGCGGGGGGCAAACCGCTCTTTCCGCGGCACGAGCACCAACGACTTCACATGAAATGCGGTGGTGTTCAGTGACAGCGAATGCCATCGAACTCGGATGCAGGAACCTCAGTGAGGGTCAACCCCGCATTTCAAAATGAAGCCCCTGGCTTGTGTCCAAGGCTTCAGTACTCGCACCACAACATCCATTCAGGGTCACTACGTCTGAGTCTCCATGGTGCCATTGATGTTTTACAAGTACGACTAGCGCTAATTAAAAGGAAAGGATGCATTGCAGGCACCCTTCAACCCCCCTGTCCACTGCGTAAGCTTCCCCCTCCTTTCCACATCCTTTCCCGCGGCGGAAGGCCCCCCCTGTGGCCACCGGACTCCACGATGCTTTCGTTATCCAGGGTGAACTCCTGTGGGCATTCAATCCAAGTTTCAACCCGCGCGCGGCCGCCAGGGAACAGGGTCTCGCAGTTTGGAAACCAGGCGCCGGGAAGTTTTCCCGCTCTATATGTGGTTCCTTCGGTTCCTTCACCAGTCGCATGGGGTGTCGTCAACTACGGGAACTGAAAATTCAAGGATCCTCCGGGATCCCAGTGGCAGTGCCCATGCGCACTGAAACATGTTGGATGAGAACCCACCGTGTTCTGAAGAAAGTGGATGCTCCAGTTCTGGGGAAACCACATGCCGCATGACGCACGGGCACCACCGACGTTGCAGCACGACCGCGGAACATATCCGGGTGTGGTTGAGTTCCAGGTACTTATAGACACGTCAAAACAGCAAAGCAAAGCAATGCCTCGGAATTGCATCATGGCGTGACCGGTGTCCTGCCATCTATTTCACAAGCCGAGTCTGTTCGCCCAATTTGCCCAAAACAACATCAATTCAAGCTTCTGCTGCTGTTGGGGAGGGCATTGTCACACGCACAGGTGGCACATGCTCCAAGAGTATTGAAGGTTGAGCTTGGATGGGCACGGAATAGAATAGGTAGGACAATTTATCACAATGTATCATATCTGAGCGTGCTTTCAACAGAATCTCTACTACCAGCCTCCTCTGAATCCAAAGAGCTCCGAGAAACATGAGATGACCCAAGTCCCCAAACATCTTCTGGAAACATTTGTCAAGCTTCTCCCTGACCAAAAACAAAGGTGAGACTTCTACCGGAACCCCTCTTGGAACAGCTATGAGGTCACTTCTGCCAGAGCGACTGTACATTGATCACCCCGGCCGCACCGGTGCGGCCCGGCAATCCCAGGCCGCGAGCCTCAACGAGCAGTTCACGAAAGGCGTTGCCCAGCACATCCTCCTGTGCCAACGCTGCTGCGAACGCTACGAGAAAAAAGCGACTGGTGACCGTCATAAAGCTCCTCTCCTCCCCTGGGCAGATTCCAAAGTGCAGCCGAGTGTGTGTGTGTGTGCAATATATGTATGTCAACCCACGTTTCCAAGGGATTTTTCACATAGTTTCACACAATTTGGATTTAGTATGATTTAGTTAAAGAATGTAGGGGGCGCCGGGGATTCGTGCAGTCAGCGCCCAACGAAAACGCTGCAGGTGTCCTGTGCAAACGTACGACAGTACCTGACTGTTTATGCCACTATGCCTGTTTCAACTGCTTCCAAGCTTTCACTGGGCCCTTACTTGTAGCTAATTGCGTTCTCTCATGGGGAGTCTTCACAGTGCGAACCTAAGTATGGCCAAGGCTGTCTACTTCGCTGTTCTGTAGTAAAGTGCTGACGGAGCAAAGGGCTAACGCATCTCGGACTGTTTGCTCTTGCAAGCTTCCTTCTAAGAGTGTGTGTGTGTGTGTGCGTGCGTGCGAGAGATGCGAAAAGTGTTGGAGCAAGGGAGCCGGCCCAAGACCTCCTTCGGCTTCAGGATTCATTGACTCTGATGACTCTTTTCCCCAAAAATGCCGTGGATCACGGGGATTGTCATAGTTGCTTGAGTTCAGAAGCCCCCGCCAAACACAGTCCTACACACCATGTCAATGTCCTTGGCAATGGTGTGTTTCAACCCACTCGCGCCGAAAGCTGGAACCCGCGCGCCTCCTTGTAGCCGGAGAGCTGCTCCATCGCCGAGTTCCAGCGACGGACCCGTCCCGCAGGATCCAGGGCCAACATGGGCACCTCTCCATCCGGAAGCGCACCAAGTCTCCGAACGGCTTTCCGGGAAAGCAGTGCCAGGTCCGGCATGGCCCACGTGAGTGCTACAGGGTGGGCGTGAGTGCTACCCAAACATCCTTCCAAAAAGGATCAGGGGATCAGGGTCCTGAAAGATCCTGACATATTTAGTTTAGATGTCATTATGTGATATTGTATTATATATATTGTATTGTTTTTGCATTTAGTAACAATATGCGTGGGGATCCTGAAAGAACTTGACATACAGTGACATACATCATACCTGGACCTTCCTCGCCATTTCAGGCGCCCAATTCATCTTTGCCAGAGAAAGCACAACAAGCCCTATCTCTTTGCTCGTCATACCCCCACCCAAAAAACACACAGTGAAAGGTCATTTTGCTGAAGCCAAATTCTTATGAGATTCGGTCTAGCAAACATGCGCATCCCCTCCGTCGCTGTGCTCATGGCTGAAAAACACCATCCCCGGAAACCATATTTACCGTACCAGGACCATCCAAGGGACACCTCCAGGGTTGAGCGGCTCCCCAAATTGAGGGATTGGGATACGGACAACCAAAAAAACAATTTAGAGACTAAGCCGTTTCCCAATCACCCGAAGATGGCACGAAGTCCCAGCAAGTCAGCCTGAGCCAGCCCCGTCAAGTCTTGGAAAAAGCCAATGGCACCGCCCACCTGAAAGAAATTCGTCGTGTGAGGATGGGGCATGGAAAACACCAATCAGCGAAGAGCAGTGGTTCAAGGTATGATTGAAAGAGGTACATATATACACGTATATATTATAGTCACATGATGTATATATATATACACGATTATACACGTATAATATATTATAGTCACATGATGATCACATCACTAGTCACATCAAGAGGACAAAAATAATGATCCAAAGGATTTGAAAGGGTCGACCCAGAAATTGGCGTGTCGGGCCTGGACCGTTGATTCTCTTTGATTCCATCACTGGTCGGAGGGCCTGCTGTTGGCACCCCCACCTCTCTCGACCCCCACAGGATGTTGGCACCTGTTCGTCTACAAATGAAAGGGGCTCCAGCCACGCGCGCCTCTCGCGTCTGCAGGTGCAGCAAGAACCGCCGCCGTTTGGAGGCCGTTCCGTAGATCGTACCGCCTCCAGGCCGAGCTGGACGAGTCCAGGTGGCACCGTGGACATTCGGTCGAACAATACGAACAACGCGGTTGGTATAAAGCTACATGACTCTTACATGACCTTCTAATCCGTAGATCGTACCTGGAACCTAGACGTGACCCCTGTGCTGGACATCTTTTGGAAAAGACTTGAAGAGACCGTATTTGGGGTGGCTGGCGGTTCAAGAATTAGAGGTTTCTCAGGTTCACAATATACACAGTCTGAATCACTTCTTGATGGATTCTGCCCCCCACGCTGGACCTCCTTGTTTCGTCCGCATCTCGGAAGTTCAAAGACGGAAAGGCCCATGCACTTGAGAAAGGCCCATGAACGGGAGCCCAAGATGCCATCCACCCCCCTGCCTTGCAAGGACCAAGACGCCTCCACGGGCGCGAACTCCGAAAGGGCCTGGTGGGACAGGGTGCGACTGATAGGCTAAGTGGAGGGTGCGTGGAGAAAGGGGGTCAGCAAAAATCGCTTATACGAAGTTAGTGCATCAAAAATACCTTCCACGAAGTTCTGCGAAGGTTTCTGGGATTTCGTTGCAGTCAGTTCTCCTACTGGCCCACCATTCCACGAACTTTCCACGAATAGCCTTGGGTTCTACGAATGTCCCACGCCTTCCACGATGTTAGTAGAACAGGTTTTTGCAAAACCCTTTCTGTGCACTACCCTTCCGTTTGCCTGATTCGGAGGAGCCGCCCCACGCTGGCCCACGCCTCCAGGGCCAGCACGCGCTCAAAGGCTCCGGCAACTGCACCCTGAGCTCTCGAGCGTTCTGCGAAAAACTTCGGTACTTTGAGTGGGTGAATTGGTCAGACTTGGGTTTTGATCAAGTTCTTTCTCTGGAAAGCCTCTACCAAAAACCCATCTAGACCCAGGAAATGACCCCTCGACCCGTCGGCACGTCTGCAAGCCAGAAGTCCCGAGCGTCCCAAGGTCGATCAGAGAAGCGATGCGCTTTCAGGATACAGAACAGAGTGCATCCGTCTCGTAAGCATGGAAGCCTTGGTTGGAACAAACAATAATTCATTCAATCGAATTTCAAAAATATATATATTTATATACTGTATAGAGAAAGACATCTCAACTACCCCAATCCGCCCGAAACTCACCAGACCCATCCGGAACCCATCCTCGCGCACACGGCCCACCCCCCAACACTCTGTCGGCTTCGGAGCGCCGTGCTGGTCAAACAGAACACCGGGTCAGCCTCTTCGTCCAAGGCTTTGAGCTCACGCCCGAAGACCTGTGGGTGAAACAACTCGAGATGGCTGAGCTCCCCACCCACATAAGCCAAAGGCTCGCGGGAATGGCCCCAAGCCCACACGTGGAAGCGCGACGTGACCGCCCGGGGGGCCAAAGCAAAGCGAAATGGTCAATGGAAGTTGTGGCTCAGTTTGTTTGGGGGTGGGGGGGTTGAAGGTCTATTTTGGCAGCCACCCGTCGGCACTGAAGTACCTCAATTCCAAATGAGGCACCCTGCCTTGCCATCACTATGTTCATCATTGACGGGATCATTGAAGTTGCCCATCAAAGAGCCAAGGAGGAGGGAGTGCCTTTTTTGTTTGGGAACCAAATTGCATGTCCGGATATGTCCGGCATCGTGAGGTGATATGAGGTGCGTCTGGAGGGGAAGTGGTGGTGAGAGAAAACATGCTAAAACACTGCGAAAATGAAAGGTCTTGCAACATTTGATTTGGAAGTGGTGTGCCATACAATCGAACATAAAGTGGCACGCTTTAGTGAGAAATAACTCAAACTGCTGAAAGGAGTCGTTGTTTGCCTGTCAGGGATCTGGTGATGAGAATGACACAATAATCAGACACAACGCAAAACTATACAATAAGCATGGTCGACATGCAGTAGGATCTTGTAGGAAATAGCAAAATGGACAGGCATTGTCGGGTGTATATATATTATACCTTGGCGCTTAAAAAGGCATTGTTGAATATAAGTTGGACCCCCAGAAAAATGTACAACTTCCAGGGGGGGAAGATTAAGACATATATAAAGATTTGTTTAAAAAAAACTATCCCGGCAAGAGACCCCAAACAGTGTGTGTAAGGTCTGTAAGCAGAAAGTCTAGAGATATAGACGCATTGGGGTCCAGAGAGGTGATGGTGGTGATAAAGTGAAGGTGGGTGTGAGTGAGTGTGGGTGAGAGGGAGTGTGAGTGTGAGTGAGAGTGGGAGAGAGAGTGTGAGCGCGAGTGTGAGTGAGAGTGAGAGTGAGACTGAGTGGGTGCGAGTGTGAGTGAGAAAGAGCGTGAGTGAGAGACAGTGAGTGAGTGAGTGAGTGAGTGAGTGAGTGAGTGAGAGAGTGAGAGTGAGAGTGAGAGCGAGTGTGAGTGAGACTGAAGGTGGGTGAGTGTGTGGGTGAGTGAGTGTGCGTGTGAGTGTGATTGCGAGTGTGAGTGAGAGCGAGTGAGAGCCTGCGAGTAGGAGTGAGTGGGTGTGAGTGTGAGGAGTGTGTGAGTGGGTGGGAGAGTGATGTGAGCTGAGAGTGAGTGTGAGTGGGACTGAGTGTGGATGAGAATGAGTGTAAGTCGTGAGAGTGAGTGCGAGTGGGAGAGTGAGTGTGAGTGCGAGTGTGAGAGTGAGAGTGGGAGCGTGAGGGAGTGTGAGTGTGAGTGAAAGTGGGAGAGTGAGAGCGGGAGAGTGAGAGAGTAGCCACGAAATCTGCACTTTGAGGTTCACCAAGTGCTGTGCCTGCCACGAAATCTGCACTTCGAGGTTCACCATGCGCTGTGCCTGCTACTGCGCCTGCCACGAAATCTGCACTTCGAAGTTCACCAAGCGCTATGCCTGCCACGAAATCTGCACTTCGAGGTTCACCAGGCGCTGTGCCTGACCAAGTGCTGCGCCTGCCGCGAAATCTGCACTTCGAGGTTCACAAGGTGCTGTACCTGTCACGAAATCTGCACTTCGAGGTTCACAAAGTGCTGCACCTGCCACGAAATCTGCACATCGAGGGTCACAGAGTGCTGTGCCTGCCACGAAATCTGCAAACGAGCCACATGTCCAAAAGTCACGATTCACTGCACCTGTCACGAAATCTGAGCTCCTCGACGATCACCACCATGTCCAAAGTGCTGCACCTGCCACGAAAACTGCATTTCTAAGCAAAACACCTCCGATCCCTTGCACCTGTCACGAAAAGTCGACTTTGGAGCACCAAAACACGAGGTGCCCCTTGCGCCTGTCACGAAAAGTGACCACCATGTGCGAAAATGCGCACGGCACCACAACGAGAGCGCAGTCGCCAGAAGCACCCGCCGCAGACACTCAGATTCTGCGAGCCTGCGCAGTCGAAGTGCACATGGACGATGTCGAGAGGCATGAATGTACTGTAAATAGCAACGAATTAGCCGTTTACGGATGCGCGCTTCAGCGATCTAAGCATCAGCTTCCTTTTTCCTACCGTAAGAACCCCTCAGTGTGCCCACACTGGTTTGGGGAACCATCCTATTCAACCTGATAGAGCCCAAATCAATCGAATACAAATCACTCATTGTTGAAGTTGGACCCCTTGAAGCTTAAAGAGGTACAGTTTCAAGGCGTCATATGTGTTTGAAATGTATCATCGCATCTACATACACTCTCGGCCCTGGCTATACTTGGGTTCACCACGTATCTCCCTGGTTTCTGACACCTCTAGCTACTAGTAGCGATGGCCTCTACCTCGATATGTCTCAGACCCAAAGGATCGATAGGCCATGCCCACGCTGTCTCTCAAAACCACTGGTGCGGACGGAGCGACCGATCGTCGAAGCAAGCGACCTGATACATTCAGTTGCCAAACTCAAACATACAGTGGACATGATATGACATCAACCCGAAACGCCTTTCGGAATTCCATCCGACCCTCGCTCCGAATCGTTCCTTCTTGAAGTTTCGCTTTTGCTTATATATGGAGCCACACACGGGGCCAACGTTTTCCAACCCTCCCATCTCCTGTGTTCTGTCATCTATTTTTGATCGCTTGCCGTTCGAAGCTCAGCTTCCCTTTTCGGCATCATCGTAACATGCTTCACTGCTGCCCCTTGGGCGTTGAGACGCGCTTCAAATGCTGTGGGAGCAAGGACTTCCTCTGCTCGACTGGCACCAGTCGAGGGAACCTGAAGCGACTCGGGAGAACATCCAACGCAGTGGCTTGTGAGAGAATTAGAGCTTGAGAAGCCTGTGCAAGGCGGGTAGAAACCATTGTCCAGCATCCCGAAACATCTTCTACTGTAGATACGCAAGCCGCACCAATCATCAGAAACTCTTGATTTAGTCATGAGCCTCCTCATTTGGGTGTCCCACGTTGCGAGCGATGTGATACATCCTCACCCCGTCCACTCTGTTGCGCTTGGTGCCATAACCCCACCCCTTTCCATTGACCAAGTGACCAGTGGCACTTCACCACTGCGGGTGGCAACAGCGACGCGATGAGCACCATCACCTGAGGCGACCGTGAGCGACGCGTCATCACCGACCCGCGAGCGACGTCGCGTCAGGGGTCGAGCACCCATGGTTGGGACAAGTGGGACAAGTCACGAAAAGTGGGGCTCGTGATGTCTGGAGGAGCACCCTAGAACAACTGGAGGGCATAACCGTGGCACCAGTCACCCACCAACACCCAGAGCTACAAATACTTCTTATGCAAGCTATAGGTTTGTCCACTGGTTGCTTAAATCTCCACTTGCAGGAAAAATCACGTCTCAAATGCCTTCCCAACCAAAGGCCGCAATTTTTGAGACATACACTTGTAAAAGGGTGCACGTTAAATGTTGATGTTTTTTCGTTTTTTTCTCAAAAACATTGGAATAGAGCAGGTTTCTTATTAGTACCTAGCTAATTACAGCAATTTCGTGTCCTTAGCCGAGACACAGGTGTCGTAGCTGGCCAAATACATTGGGATAGCGCAGGTTTCATATTAATTGCTAGCTGATTAGACTAATTTGGGAGCTGTCGTAGCTGGCAAAATACATTGGAATAGTGTAGGTGTCAGAGAAAGTCCTACGTTAGCAGAGAAACAGTAAAGAGAAAGAGAACCAGCACAGGAGGCATATATGATTGGTTACAAGTTTATGCCCCGGGGAGTTCACCTTAAAATATTGACTTCGTGGCAGGCGCGGGTGTCGGAGATGCAGCACACCAGATCCAAAAGTTAGAAAGCAAACACATGGAAAAGCAAAAACAAAAAGAGAAAGGAGAACAGCTGCCAAAGCAGAAAAGCAACAAAAGCAAAGAGCAGAAAGACAAAAACACAAAAAGCAGAAAAGCAGCAGAAGCAGAAAAGCAGCAAAAGCAGAAAAGCAACAAAAGCAGCAGAAGCAGAAAAGCAAAAGCAGAAAAGCAACAAAAGCAAAACAAGCAGCAGAAGCATAAACGCAGCAAAAGCAGAATCCGAGAAAAAAAACATGCAACAAAAATGAAAAAAGATCACGAAAAAAAAACGCCCCTCCCTTGTAAAAGGATGTGCAAAGGCGCTTACTTTGTGAGGGGTGCAGAAATTCCTCAGCCTTAAACGTCTGCAGTCTGCGAAAGCAAGCTTGCTCATGAAGGCCCAGAACGTGTCCCTTCACCTTACTTCAAATCCTCTTGTATCCCCATGTCTGGTGAGCTTCCATGTATTGACATCTTTAAGACCAAGCGCCACTAATGAAGCAACATGTTTGTATACACTCCTTGAAGCGACATGTGGAGGACCCACCTGTTTGGTATGTGGAAAGTTATCATCCAACTGGCCAATGTTTCACTTCCATGAATGTCCTTACTTCAGTTGCAGACCGGAGAGTTTGAGGTCGTTTCGGACAGGTTCTCCTGCGTTTGTGTTAGTACTAGGTGCCATGGAGCTTGACTTCATCTGTTAGACGTGTTACCTTTCGTTTACCCTTTTAGGGGTGGAAGCCAGTGGGACCCCCGGTCAGCTTTCGGCCCCTGCCAGCGATCGATGATCTCCCACAAGAAGGAACACGGAACAAATCTGGAAACTATATATATATGTATACTGTATATCTATCTATCTATCTATCTATCTTGCTCTGGAATCCTTGATCGCGCCAGGTGTTCACAGCGACGACCGTGACCTTCCATCTCTGAAGGTAGTTACTAAGGGGTTTACACTCCCTGACATCATCGATGGAAGTGGAAAGCCACCTGTTTGGTATTCGGAAAATGGTCGTCCTTACAGGGCCATTCAGGACCACATCCGGTTTGGTCCTTTTTTTGCTGCCTCTGAAGGGCGTGAGTCGGGTCAGAATCACGCTACACCGTGCCACCCAGGGGCGGAGGTATAAAGCACCAGGCCCAAGTACTCCAGGGCAGTCCAGGAGGCCCAATGACTTAAGCTGACAGGTGCCCAGTGGTTGTGGAGAGCAGCTACGACACAGAGATCCACCTGAGGCAGAAACTAAGAGCAGGACGGCTGGTTGCGTATGGATCCACAAGTGCGGGTGATCGATTGTTCAAGGCAGCCTCAGCCTCATGGCCATAGCTGGGACTTTGAACGCTTGCACAGGAGTATGATTATTATACTGTTGTATATAGGCATATAGGTATCTAGAGCCTAGATCAGTGTTGCACACAAAGAAAGAATCGGGAGATAGATAGCATGCCAATGGTTCCACAATACCTCTCTCTCTCTCACTCTCTCTCCCTCTCCCTCTCCCTTTCGCCCTCTCTCCCTAGCTTTCTCTCTTCCCCTCACCCAGTGCATGTCTGTGAACCCCCCCCCCCCGAGAGGTTGCCCATCCGCCAACGGTCCCATGTCGTGCCCGGTCCCGACCAAAGCCCAAGCCGCACACAGCGCGGCAAAGAGCCCCACGGCCACGCGCCAAAGTGTGGAGACACGTGCGGCCGAGCCCAGGAGCTGCAAGGCACGCAGGAGGGTGAGGCACCTGATCCATGTCTGAGTGACCCATGTGATCTTCATCCAGTCTGAGTCCGGATCCCGAGTCGCGTCTAGCGGCGCTGGACGAGGGGTCCTGGATTTCAACAGTTTTCTGAAAAAGGTGCTGGTGAGGTTACACTACTGCTGATCCTTGACAGCTTAACATGGATGACCCATGGGCGACGACTGGTCTTTCATCCATGGATGTTCTTTTTTCCGTCGCCGCCGCGGTCAGGTCATGTCCTATGTCTCTGTGCGGAGGCCCCAAGCTTAGCTTGCTGTGATTGCGCGGTGGGGATCGACCGAAGAAGCGAGAATGGTCAGATCTGTGCTGTCTCAGCGGTCGGTGGGTGCCATCCCACGGATTCCAACTGGTGTCAAATTGAAGGAAAGGCGTCAAGTTACTGCTGTGAATCATCGGCTTGTGGCTCCAAAACCACAGGACCATCAAGGAACCCAATCAAGCACGTGACTGACATGGAAGTGGAAGACATGGTCCTCGGAAGACTGTGTGTACTTTCCTGGAAACGAACACGGTATCCTCCGTGTGAGTGAGTCGGTTTATCAACCTACCAAGAATGTCAACCTACCATGGCGTTCGGTTCGTGCGTGGCGTTAAGGCCCCATCCGCTGTGAGCCGCAGATGCGATGCTTCGATGCGATGATTCGAAGCCAAGGCACATTGCTAAGCCACCAAGCTGGATGGGCAGGTAATGATACTTGAAGCCTCAAAGAGGTCAGGATTTGGCTGGGAAAGCTGCCGTGGTTGGGAGGTGATGGCGATGGTACAGAAATATCAAAAAGGTAAAGGACATATCACTACTACCGTCCGTTGCACAGAGCGCTCGGGGCCGAGTGGAATGGCTGAAGCAGTGTTTTCTTCAGCCAAGGCAATGGTTGTTCTTTCCGGAGGTGTCCCAAAACTATCGGCATGCCCTGCCCCATCCCCAACCCGACCAGCCTGGTTTGCAACAAAAACGCGTGCCCTTCCAACCTTTCCAACCGACTGCTCCAAAGCACTGGTGGTGACGGCTTGCAGAAGGTCCAGGAAGCAGCTGGTCACCAGAAGGGTCTCAAGATGCGAGGATTCCTGGCTCCCAACGAATGCAGATCGATTCTATGGCAGATTCGATATGATTCCTGGCAGATTCGACACACAGGTCGAAAGAGCAAACGTTCGGAAAACCACACAGAGTGCAGTTTCTATGGATGTTCCGACGGTCGCTGAGAAAGCCAAGGTCACGGAGTCGATCTGAATCTAGTTATACCAGAATGCAGGAGAATCCTGGCTGCTGTGCCCCGAAGGCAACTTCCTGCAGAATCCCGAACAATGTGGATGCCTCATGCTGGGGTGAACCAAATGTTGTTCCATAAGAGGAAACATCTGAGCCGAACTCGCTGACTTTTCGACCACCTCGGCTCTTTCGGGGTGGTTTCATCTCCTTTCACGGAGTGTTCTCATGTTCACATCCAGATGACAACCTCCGAATCCCAACGCTTCACATGCAATTCATCGCAAAAGTTACATTTCTAGAGAACAGTGTCTCCCCGGCCCGGCACGACTCTCATATCTCCGTCTCCTTGATGCCATGTGACAGCACTAGGTAGCAGCACAAGTCGCCTCGGTTCGGCCGCCAGCCGGTCGGCTGAGGGAGGACCGTCGGACACCTGATGTCGAACTAGCGCATTCAAGTAGATGGACACGTGGTTGACTTGGCCGCTCCATTATAGTAAAGAAGAGTCCTTAATTAGGTATCTCTCTCTCTAAATGTAAGTAAATAAGTGAACACATATATATATATATATATATTGTATAACTAAAATATAATATATATTTTTAATATGTGTTTAAAGTTTAAACTTGTTCGTGAATAAGAGCCTGCACCACCGCAAGGTCAGCACCTGCCAACAGGATTCGTGGCTATGTCCTTAGAATAGCTCCCAATAAGGCAGAACAGCTCTCAAGCACCCTTTCACAGCACCTTTCCGGCCTCCCCTCTGTGCTCCCAGTGGCTGAAAACCACCGAGGCCACACTGAGACCGAAGCGAAGGTCGCCATATCGACCTGTGGCATCTGAGATCTGCGTGATGCTCGGAACCTCACTGCTGGTACCTCAAACGGTTGACGACAGGGTGACAGGGTAGAGGTCGGGAAGGAGGGAAGGACCAGGGAAGGAGGGAATGTCAAGGGACATCTTCGTCACCGAAGCGATGGTACCTTGTTTTATGATACTTTCCGTGCCGGTGAGCAACAGAAGCACGAATGATGAGTGGTGCCCTGGTGCAGTAAAAGCTGGTGCCTCACTGGAAAACGACCATCCAATGCAGACCACTGAGAGTTGGGTCAAGTTATATATGTACACCATAGTGTCACTAATGCAGGTCAGAAGTGAGTTCCGACATGTCCCTATCCGCTGGTTTGTGGATAAGGCTCTCCATGTTCTGATCTTCCTATCCAGCGGCCTTGCAAACCTTCCACATGAGGGGTCATGACAGTCATGACCTTTGATATCACCAAACATCTGTTTTGCCTTTTGGTACCACAATGTACCAAAAGTACTGCAGTTGCTGTAGCAATCAGTCAAGTTGTCACACACATCTTGACAGGACGAACTGTCATCATACGAATCTTGTGCATCATTATGTTAACGATTTGCATCTCCACACACACACAAACACACATGGAAGTCAGTCATCCTCGCCCATACTACAAGTCATCAAACTTTCATGAGCCCCGCGCACCCTTCAGATCAAATCACAGGCCTCGGCGGTTTCCATAAAAATGTGCCCCAACAAATCAACAAAAACAACCTGCCCCGATGGAAGCGATGGAATGATATGGAATCGCATCTACCTTAAGGTACCCCCTTACAGGCCACTTTGTCCAGTTGCACGTGCTCCCTGAATCCTCCTCAACCGGCGTTTTTGCCGCTCGCTCTACCACCGCGACGGGCCGTCTGAAAGAGGCCCAGCAGCAAGGATCATCGAGCATGCAATAGATCTCATAGTTCATCGCTGCGACGGCCAAGCGAAGGAGCACTCCCAAGCTCAGCAGGCACCCTGCATCGAAAGAGGCCTGGCAACTCGCCCGAGCGGAGCGACCGGAGGGTTAAAACCTCTTACACCATTGTAAAAGTTGTTGGCGCAACTCAGGGGGTAGCCACCATAGCCATAGATGGCTCAACACCACATGTCAATTGAGCCATCTTTGAGCTAGAACCATAGCCATAGATGGCGCAACTCATTTCGGTTTGCTTCCCTTTTTCCTTCCTTTCCTTTTGTTTCCTTCATTGTCCCTTTCACTCCTCTCCTCTCCTCTCCTCTCCTCTCCTC